GGAAGTACGAAAAAAATGAAAAAGACTTTTGCATCAACCTAATAAAATAGCTTTATACTAAAATCAATTTGCTTATTCTCTAGTTATTTTTTTAAATGCAAATTTTTTGAGAGAAAATTTGTTTCGATTGAGTGGAATCCTTTCTCCGATAGAGAATCGATTTTTCGATTAAAGATTAGCTTTAGATTGAATAATTTTAGATAAACAGAACCTGCATTAGATTAATGTTGATAAGATAAACAGAACCTGCGGGAAACCTGCAAAATAACTGGCTATTGACTGACTGGGAAGAGCTGGATCCTCGCTACGGTCGACGCTTTTTTTCAACAGTCAGTCAATAGCCAGTTATTTTGCAGGTTCCCCGCCGAATTTTGATGAGTTTTTTCAAGCAGGAATCAACAAAACTGTCCGTTTACAATCGAAATCGAAAAAGAGAAATTCAAGAGTTTTTTTAATTGAATTTCGATATCCGTTGAAATATTGATATTGAAAAAAAAGAGGAAAGTGATCAAACAGAAGGGAAACAGAGCCGAGTTCTTCTAGAATTTTCATTCTCATTTTCCTGGCCTGCTTTGGGCCGGACAAGGCAAGGTGCTGGCATGACTTCTGGCTTGATCTCACCTGGATTTACTGCGAATCTGGCTCATTTTCTGGGTCTGTAACTGGCTTCTGATCAGGTTCTGGCTTTACCTTGCCCAACCGGATCAAGTAATCCAGACCAGCCAAGTCCAGTCCAGGTGGACTCGGGGATTATTAGTTTCCAGTATACAGGGTGGGTCAAAATTACCGTTACGATGCCTACTCGCGCGCAAATGCGCAGATCTCTCATTCAATGCGTGGCCGCCAAGTAGTCTGAATCTTAATCCAATGGATTTTTCTGTTTGGAGTGTCCTTGAAGCTAAAGCATGTTCAAAACCACAGAAAAACTGTTGATAGTTTGAAAAAAGCGCTCGAAAAGGCTTGGGAAAAGCTGGATCCTGCATACCTCCTCGCCACGGTCGACGCTTTTCCACGACGTTTGGATGGCTGTGTAAAAGCTAATGGAGATCTGTTTGAAAAGAAATAGCTTTTATGAATTGTTATGAGACAAGAAAAGTTATTTTTAAGAAAAATCTTTGACCTTTTGAGTTGTTTTTTATACAGAGACTTTTTTCTATGTAACGGTAATTTTGGCTCACCCTGTAGGTCAAAAATTCGAAGGTTTTACAAGAACGAGTAGAATGTAGATGAAAGAATGTGCGTAGAATGCGTAGAATGTAGAATGTAGAATGCGTAGAATGGAGATGAAAGAAAATGAAAGAATGAAAGAAAGAATGTAATGTGCGATATCCTAGCATATACTGTACTCAATTATCTATTGATCTATTGATATTTGAGTACAGTAGATGGTAAATGTAGATAACTGACTGGAAACGATGATGGAAACGATGGTGGAAACGATGGTGGAAACGATAGTGGAAACGATGGTGGAAATGATGATGGAAACGATGGTGGAAACGATGGTGGAAACGATGGTGGAAACGAAAAGTCACTAGTTGCTAGTGGCTAATTGTAACATCTACTAATTGACTTTCCGTTTTCATCAAGATTTCCTGAAAGAGTTAAGTAGTCTAAGGTAAAAAGGTGAAAGGCGACAATTGAAAAGTTATTTATAAAGTTTAGAAATGTACCTAGATATGGGGATAAACACGAAAACAAGAGAAAGAGTTGAGAAAAGAAACGGGGCGGAGTCTCAGCCCTAGTTCTGGCAGCTCTGCCGATCCCTCTCCATCAACAGTACCCTTATACTACGCCCCATCTCCAGTATGGATGTTTTTCCGATCTTTGCTCAAATTTTTGATATCTCTGGTGATCGTGTGGTGTCTGTTTTTATGAATTCAATAAAAACATGGTTGTTTCTTTGATCAAACTCTGTTTTTGAGGTCATTCGACAAACTCGCTAAATTGCGGATAGGTAAAGTTTGTAAATTTGAACGAAAAAAAGAGAAAGAGCTTGTTGGGAAAGAGTTGAATGAAACACTGATTGACTGGAATCATTGTAAACAGCTTTGTAATAAGGTTTTGGTACTATGCATGGAATTTTACTTAATATATCAAAATCGAGACTTTCTAGACAATGTTTTAAGTCTAAAATTCGGTTGTTTTTGAAATATTTGTCTTTTTCTATCCTTTGCAATCCTTTGTGAATCCTTAAAGTATCGAAAAGTGAATAGATTGGATAAAAATAGAGACAAGGTTACGGTAGGCGGATAGTTGATAGTTAGAATTGCTTGATATTAAAAGAAAGATTGAATCAGAAATAGGCTTCGCTGACGACGATGTTGACGACGATGTTGACGACGACGTTGATCACGACGTTGATGACGACGTTGACGACGACGTTGACGACGACGTTGATGACGACGTTGACGACGACGTTGATGACGACGTTGACGACGACGTTGACGACGCTGAGATTACGATATTTTTACGATAGCTCTTGAAGTCGAAGAAATTCTTAAATCCCCTGAAGAACAAAGAAAGGAACAAAGAAATCGTTTTGTTAAAGGGATAGATTGAGATCAAAAAAGAATCGATGAATGATCAATGAAACGAGAGAAAAACTTGTGCAAAACGAGTTCATTTAGCGAGCTGGTGTCACAGCAAACGTTTTCATTGAGGGGAGCTCTTGAATAAACGAAATAAAAGTTTACAGTAAGCTGTACAGTAAGCTGTACAGTAAGCTTTTTTGTACAGTAAGCTGATCGAGTTGTCTGCTTGAGTATCGATAAACGATACTAGAGTTCATCTTTTATTGATAACTAGCTTGAACTTTTGTGCAGATTTAGATACTTTTTGTGAACCAGATCAAGCGAACTCTAGCCTCAGTGAAGAAAGAAGCTTAGCCCTAATGCTTTGGCTGATCTTTCTATGCCTGGATTGACTCGATGCTTATAAGTTAGGGTTTCGAGCCAGCCAGAACCAAATCTGGGCTGCTTCTGCTTCTGGCCTGGCTCGAGCTCTGGCTTTCGCTCGTCAATTCTGGTGACTGCACGTGATTTACTTTTTCACGATCTAATTGATTTTTGGAAACTCTTTCAGGAAAAGGAAAAGCAGGAATTGCAGGAAAAGCTGTGCAAATTTGAGAGGAAATCTGTATTTTTGGGAAAATGCTTTTTAGTTTTAGTTGGAAAGTTTTGATTTAATTTTTTGGAATGAATATAAAATTGTGTCGAATTTCCACTTGTTATCTCACGTTAATAAATCAAAATCAAAAATTGTTCAAGCTTTAGTGTACTGAATTGTTTTAAAACGCTCGAATAAAGGATATTCAAGCTTTGCATCGAAATACTTGACTTTAGCCAATTGAAGGATTTTCAAGGATGTTCTAGCCGGGTTTGAAAGCCTTGCTAGTAGTCAGCCTTGCTCCAGGATGGGTTTAGTCTAGGCCCAGACTCAATTTTGTGAGCAGGACCTGGGTTCTGGGCACAGTTTGGAAAACTTTGCTTCGGAAATTCCCTGATTGAGAGTTACAAAAGCTTTGCTTTGAAAATTCGCTAGTGTCTAACGAAAGTTAGGGTGATTAGGCTAGATTTAACTCTTAAAAGTAGTCGATTTTTGTTTCAACCTTGTACTTAAAACTAAAGAACTCAGCACAGCACACACTTGACTCTGTTCAAGAGTGTAAAGGGGGTTTTTTTGGGGTCGATCTTTGGAAATGGACAAGAAAAGGGAAGGATTCTGGCGGGGGAGAATGGGAGGAAACTTGAGATGACTAGAAGATGGCTAGAAGATGACTAAAGAGTGATTTGTTGGAAAAAGGATTTGAACGAGAGTGGGAATTATGTGTGAATTGAGTGCAAAGGAGAGAATAGGAAGAAGGGAAGAAGGGAAGAAGGGGAGATCGAGCAACGAAACAGAGAAACACTCGCCCTCGTCTGCACTCATCCCCTCCACAACTCCATCGACCAGTCCGGATTTAAAAGATAGCTTTTTGTTTCTCAGAAGCATTCCTATGCAATATCGGTAAAAAAAAACTGATAGATCGGGTTACGGTAGTTTTCGAAAGTTCCCACATTTTAGAAAACGTCAACTGGAATACACTCTCTGCTCACGCAATCGTCTTTTTAAAACTTTGAGCTCACTCTTGTAAACACACTCTATCTAGTGCCCTCGATTATTCAATTTTCGTACGACATCAGCTTATTGCTGCATGGCAAGCAAAAATTCAGTGTGCCAAAAAAGTTTCGTTTCGATTCTTTACCCTAATCACTAGTTCGATGCATGCACCCTTGTTAATCAAATATCTTGGGGGTTTTTGTGTTCGTTTTCCTTTTCGATTCAACATTCTGCCGAGATTTTTTTGGTTTCTTTTTCATGCAAAAGACGTGCCCAATTTTCTTTTGAATGTGAACTTCATTAGCGACACCAACCGAACTAGCGCTAGATGCTTTTTTGTTCGATTTTGCCAAAACGCGCCATCTTTTGAATCCATTGATCACTTCAAGTCCATTTCTTTTCACAGAACGTTTAGGCGCGTTTCTTTTTGTTTTTACGTTCATTCGATCCTTCCCAAGTCACATCTCTCTCTCTCTCTCTTTATGACTCTTCATCGCATTCGATTGAAGTTTTGTGCTTTAGCGAAAGAACATAGGTATGTATTTACCAACATTGGCAACCGGATTATATAAAAAACTGAAAGAACTATCAACAGAATTCTGACTAAAAATGAGTATACAATAACACTTGGAAATACTAGACCAACTCATCGAAACCGGTAGTGCAAGGGAAAATGTGTTTGCATAACCCCAAAAAAACTTAATCTTATTCCGCTTTTATACACAAACCGTTCGTTCGTTAAGCAAGTCCAAATAATATGACTAAAAGTATGGCCCGTAACTCAATCAAAACATGAATAAAGCACAAAAAACTAGGGACAAATGAATGCTGAAAACTAACTGCTGATAATGGATAAGTTACAAACATTTGAAAAACATCACAATCGTATGTTGTATCGTCTAAGATTTGACGTAGTCCTTTTCTTGAAGATGTCGGGCGAGATGGTTCGCTTCGGTTTCAGAAATATCGTTTCGTCGATACAGTAACAAGTAGGCTTTCTTGCACGCATCGGATCTCTCGAGAGCCTACAAAGAAGTGTATTGGTATTCGAAAAATCGAACATATCAAATATTAGATAAAACCCAAAACTAACCTCGTTGATATCCCTTCGTTCAGTTATTAACGCGTCATCACAGTTCAGCCATCCTTCTTTCAGTGAACCATCTTCCTGATCGAGAAGTTGTTTCACGAGTGCGGTGTAGTGCCCTGAAAACATTGATTAATACGTATGAAGTAACCAAAATGTTTATATTAGTCAATATTAACCTCCATGCAGTGATTGGCCCGAATGATTAACGACGCCGGCAAGGTTATACGAAACTTTGCGGTGGTATTTAGGCTAAAAATAATAAATAGGGTTATTTACTAAAACATACCAGAACTTCTAAAACGACATCGTAGTGGTAATCTCGATTCTTGAGGTAGAGCGCATGAAGTGGTTTCTCGTGGATTGAAATTGCCTCCGTGAAAGCACTTTCTTGGGACCAGCGAAATAGCGGGCGGAAAAGTTGCCATCTAAATAGGTATGTTATTACTAACAGCATGAAAATCACTCTGATGTTTCTATGGTTGTTAGAAAAAAGAATAACACACTTTGCTTCAAGAAGAGTATAGATGGTGACAGTGAAGAGAGTTGCTGCCGCGCATAATTCCACATCAGTCCCCCATTCGCCTTCCCGAGACATCGTACTAAATAAAGTAAATAAACTAAAATACTTGGCTAGATACCTAATGTGTGAGTCGATATCTTCTTCGTCCTTCAAATGCTGCTCAAATTTTTCTCGATAGGTCCACATAAAAGTGCAAATCTAAAGAACATAAATATGCCTATTAAAATAAATCAACAAACCAATTCACGAATTTTAAGGTGCTCATTTTCGCTCCCAGTGAGCCACCAAGAAAAACACCTAAATGTCTTCTTAAAGTTAATGTGGGTTGAGTACAAACCTGAATAAGCAATTCCCGTCACCTCCGATTGATTTATCTCTTGTTAGCGTATCGTTCTTTCCGAAGTTTCTGACCCCGCCAAAGGAAGTTGGTTGAAGTAAAGTTCGACTAAAGATAGATTTTTTGATAATAAAAAAGAACTCAACTCTCTGAGATTAAACACTTTTCTCATCGTCGTGAAGTAACTCGGAGGGGGTGTACGATACACGTACGGTCCGAAGCTCGCATGTAGCTGTTTTACTTTGTCGCTTTCCTAGAAAAAAATATAGCTTAACCATCATAAGTTTCGACTCACTGGATATGTGCGAAGCCGCCACTCTTCGCGCAACCAATCGGTGTTCGGTTGGCAAAAATCACTAATCACTTTTCTTTCGTTTCGCCGTCGTTTCGTGCCAGGTTCACTATAGCCAAATGTTACAAAAAGATAAAGCCAATAAACACCTTCCAAAATCATCTTCGTTCAAGTTCAGTTTTTGTTTTTTCAATGTGTCTTCCTTGGAATCTTCCTGATCAACTTCCTAGAAGTAATTCTTTACATAGAATAAAGCGAAAGGAAAAATGGTACCTCAACAACCAAAGGCTCGTACGTTTCTTGATCTTCTTCTCTAAAACAGAAAACAAAAGAACCTCCAAATATAATGTGCTATAGCAAACTGCAGAATATCATAGATAATCAAAAGCTTACTCGATTGGGAAATCGTTCAGAGCTTTACTCGCCGCGCGTTGACCACTAAAAACCAAACGATACTGGTTTATGTATTTTATAGAGCATACCCCCCTCTTTGTTGAGATATTTCGTCACCACTCGTTGTTTCGAAAAGATCTTCGCTTGTTTCGAAAAGGTCTTCGCTTTTTTGAGTTTCAGGAATGTTTGGAAAACGATCCTTCTAAAGCAATTTAAGCTCATAGCCCGCTTTGCCAAACCTTGTTTCTTGAGCGTAACACTTTAGTGATTGGGGAAGATAGTACAATCTCCGACGAATTCTCAAGATTTTGCTCATATATGGCCACTTTAGATTTTGACCTAAAACTTTCGGCTTTAAAAGACGTCAATTTACAAACTTGAAACCGTCGAGCAAGTACGACGCCACAGTAATCTCCTCGTCAATATGTATTTGATGTGACAAGCGGGTTGGCCTTCCAGTAGTATGAGAGTAGCGCATCACCTAAACAACAAAAAATAAGCTAACAACGATTAATAAAGATAACCATGATCATTAAGTATGGAGGCAAAGTTTTTCCTTCAAGACGTAAATGGTTTGTCGCCGTTTTCCCTGAGCACTTCTCGCAAGTAACTTCAAGTTGTTCATCCGTAAAGGTGAGATCCAACAAGAATTGAATTGTCGGCACCTCTTCGTCAATCACAAACTTGATTTGCCGATTTGCTTCGCTGAAAAAAAAAACATTTAGAAAATTAGGCATAAGCCTTTACTTTGAGCTCGAATCCAATGACACTTGAATCAAATTACTCTTGTCCTCACGTCTTGATAGATTCTTGCACACGTCACAAGTTCTTCTAAATGTAGCTTTTACGGTTCTTCTAAATGTAGCTTTATCTGAAGAAATGATAGCTTACTCATAAAACACTGGAACTCGAAATAGACGTGCAGGATTGTGAGTCGATGGAAGCACCAATGCACCCTAAATAAAAGCTTTAGTTAGTTTTGCCGTTAGATTCAATGCTAAAAACGTACCGTGCTTTGCCTTTTTTCCAGCCTAATCCTCGATGCGCCGTGACTCAAAGCAGATGGTTTCTTGTTTTCCTTAAAAATCACCATAAACAAAGCCCTCGAAATATTTATATTTCCTTGTGCAGCCCAACCTTGTTACCACAATTCTCTATGTGGCCAAAATTCTCTATGTGGTCTTGCTTTTCGTTTTGCTCATAGATTTCCTCGTCAATGGTTTCATTTTCTTGGCCCGCCAATGTCGTTTCAATCTAAAAGAAATATATGTTTAATGGTTTTCTAACACTTGCCTTCGTAACTTCAACGTTTGGGTCTACGGAATTTTGGGTTCGATGTGGAGTTACATAGTGTTCATTGCCTTTTTGTAAAGCAATCTGAACAAATTTTTTGTTATTTTATTTGGAAGTTGGCAATTACCAAGTCAAGCGGCGTAGCAATGGAACGTCTCTCTGGTCGTTTTCCCTCACATTGATCATCCAATGAATCAATAAGGCATCCGAAAAACTCTTGAGCATCCTACAAGATACAATTGAAACCGAAAATTTTGAATAAGACCTGCTGATTTTGACAATCGTTCTCCAAGAATTGCTGGCAGTAATGCTCCCCAAGGTATCGTAGCAAATTATTGAGCTAAATATCCATCTTGAAAAAGCCGCAAAAATGAAGATACCGATTTAACGTCATAGTGTTCTTGCAAGCCAAGTTTTCTCGCTTGAGAGGGCGAGAGAGGAAGCCGTTTACATACATCCACCAAAACACTAAAAAAGATGACAAAAGATCTTCAACTCGAATTCTCACCTAAAAATTTCCGTCAAAGTTAACTTTGAGTACCCAGTGATTGCATTGTACGCTAGTAACGTGTGCTCAGCAAAGATCGGACGCGAGCAAATCACCTACACTAAAAATAAGAGGTTGGCAAAGGGAAAAACCTGAAGTACGCTGTTCATATAACAATGGTTTCGCGGATTTTCCAGCTCTTTATGGCGATACATGTCCCACTAAAATTGTTGAAATTGAATAAAGTTGTAGCACAAGCTAACAGTCTACCCTGTTATATCTTTCCAATTCCTTAAATGGCTCTTCCAACTTATCTTCCGATTGCAATTCAGTTACCGCGCTTTTCAAAGAAAACATCTAAAAGATCACAATTATCATTTTTTTAAATGAACTACCTCAATGAAGGTCGAGAGGCAAACTTTAGGACGATAGACCTGTTCTGGCTTCTTGTAAGGACCAATTTGTTGCACATCAATTTGCTAAAAAATGTTTTGCTGTTTCATTCGCGAACTTACATTTTGCCTGTTTTCATAACTTTTGGATGTGGAAAGTGCTTGTGTCGGAGTGGTCTGTTTTCCAAAATCCGTTTTGACATTTGTTGCTGCAGGCTTTGCAGGCATTGCTGCCTGTTGTGGCTAAAAGCAACAATATTTCTTGTAAATTAATAATTGACTAACTCTCCTGATGTTTGCATTGGAAGAAGGATGAGGAGAAGCATCATTTGGCAAAGCTAAATCAATTTGTTTTTTTTAGTGATTTTGAAAATACAGGCCCAATAGTCGCTCGTATCAGTTTTCGAAGACGCTCTTGTAGGTGTGTTCATAACGGCAAAGATTGCATCCATAGGTTGTCTGAACACATATTATGAAAGTAGCCAAATTAAAACTACGAATTCTTTGCCAATCCATTCGATGATACATTCGATAACATCCCAGAAAATTCGTCAACATGCTTTCTATTTCTACTCCCATCATCGCATCTACCTCTAAACATTTTCTCCATTGTAGCAACATAAAAAAAAGTACCCGATATGCGTTTCGATTGAATCTTCCCTCTTGATATCTATTTTGAAAGATGGTCTTTGAGTTGTCGGACGTCCAACTAAATTATGGTATTGTTAATTTGAATTCGAAAAAATACTTTTGGGTGTGGCTTTTTTTACAGTGCTTGCCAAGCCCATAGTGTTTGAAGTGCCAATTCGTGCTACTCTTGAATCAATCCGATGATCGTATCTCGCGTGGTCTAAAAATGCTAGATAAAACTTTGACAAGAAATTAAACCTAATTTTGTATTAGAGTATTTAAATAGGTTCGCGAGATTGAATTTCCCTCCTTCTTGGAGTGTACAAAGTGTTACCAAAGACGGAAACAATTTTCGAGCCTAACACTCACCACCTGTTTCTTTTGATGGCACAAGAGGATCACATTGAACGGATGGATATGATGGTTTTGGCGCATGCCTGATTGCAGAAAAGTCTAAACAAAACAGTTTTAACAAAACATAAAACATACTAACTTAATTTACAGTTTACTCGAGCCGCTTAAAGTCCCAATATGAATCTAGTTTACCTATCTGCAAAAACGGTTTTGCATTCTTGGTGCTGTGCTACAAGTCATAACGAGTAAATACCAACCAGAGCTTGCATTAAGGATATCGTCTTTGGCCATCACAGTGCTCGGCTTACTCTCAGGTTTCTTTTTGCTGTCCCTCTTAACAACAAATCCGACTTCTTCTGCTTTCATCAAAAAATTGTCTAAGTTAGACGGGGGAATCGTTTCAAACTAAAGTGAAGAAATTGAGTGCTTAAAAATTACAAACAACCTTTTCTTCTCTGGTGCTGAATTTTATTATCAATTTGTTGGGGAAACTCCATTGAATCGTCGACAGGCCGGGTATCTTCTTTGGTTTGGCACCATGGAGCAGAACTTCAATACATGGCTTCTCGTTGTTGTAATCGAGGACAACTCTTCCCAATTTTTCAATTTTTCCAAGATTCTCTAAAATTAAACCATAACAACGAATGATAATGAAACCAGCTTTGCTGGTCAGCCACTACTCGGCTACCTAACTACTAAAGGGATAAATTTCAGCCCTAGCTCACGATCAACGCAACTTTTGGGCCAGACGATTTTAACGTTGGGTAATGGATAAAACGCGGAGGGGTAGTAAGTAGCACACCAAGCTTCAACTCCACCTGTACGCCTGATTATAGGCTGTAAGTTGGTTTGGACCGATCTAGACGATCTACACTACTTTCTACAGTCACTGTTGAAAAACTTACGTCGAACTAAAACCGTGATTTTATTATTTTCGCTTTCCATTTTTTCTAGTCCATAGGGCGAAGGTTTTTCTAAATCAAAATGATAAAACTGGTGTAAAACTTGGAGAAAAAAACTGAAAAGCTGCAAATTCCCATTGGTGGGTTTTCAAAGGGAGGTTTCACAGGACATCTCACAATTTGGATCAACGAGAGACTTTGCAAACGCTAAATGAAATAGATAATAGCAAGAACTTGTTGGAGTTTGACTATCAAAAGGAAAAGCAAAAAAAGAACTTTTTCCGAAATCGCGCGGGAAAATTTCGAGTAGAAGAGGCGAGGAGAACTGGGGAAAATAATGGCAAGTGTTACAAATTTTCTTTTTCACTGTTTTTGCTAGATTTTCAGCGACTTGATTTAATATTCAAAGTTTTGTGGGAAAGCTGATTTGATGTTTTAATATTTATAGCCCATTGAGAAATTTTCTTATTTAAAGCAACTTTTCTTTTGTTTATTTTTCAATTTTCGGGATAGGCTACTTTGCGCCAAATTTTTTTTGCGCAACTCGCCATAATTTTCTTCTAAGTAAGCGAATCTTTATGATTTTGGTGTCATTTTGTTACACGTATTGAGATCTACAAAATGAAACCAAAATCATAAAGATTGGCTGACTTAGAAGAAAGTTATGGTGAGTTGCGCAAATAAAATGGCGGAAATTAGCCTACCCCCAATTTCCTTTTCCCTCTTGCTTGTCTGCCAAAATTAGTGCAGAATAGAAAATGGCTGTACCTAGGATTTTCTATTTGGCACTAACTTTCTGTGCATATATTTTTATAATATAAATCAAAAAATTTATCAACAAAAGCCTCATTCAATAAGCAGCGCTGAGTTTTTTCTTGAACTTCCACAACGCCCACAGCTTTGGATTGTAGTATCTGTAAAATTGTTTTTGAATCAAAACCAAAACTACTCTTGATTCTAAAACGTGCTTTTCAGAAAAGCTACCGTCATCCATCATCAACTAATAGTAAATGAGAGGTGTTATAACTTCTAAAGGTTTTAGGAAACTATTGACTTATAGTGCTGCTCTTGATTAACTTTAATCAAGAGCAGCACGATCTATTAGAGACTTTTCTTTCTTTTAATTAATGTTTCCTCTAAACAGTGGCAAATTCCGAAAACTATCGTAATCTTACGCTTGGTTCTTGTTCACGAAGGATATCAAAAGTGGACAAAATTAGAGTCAAGTTTACGAGAATTTTCGAAAAACACATTTCAGAAAACGATTAGTCGGCCTACCTGAACACGACAAATTCGACAAAAAACGCGAGAACTGCCGCGGCGAGTCCGATGGCGACAAGGTAGAACACGCCCAGCATATCGCTCAGACCTAAGTAGATTATCAAGATATTAAAAGTATATAAAGGAATACTGTATCCTAAAGCTTGACCAGTTAGGGTGAAATCTGGCTGAAACTTTTTGCAAATCGCTTACCCAGCGTTTCCTCGGCGAGTGGATCGATTGGTGGGCAGCGTTTGACTTTTTTCGTTAGCTGAATCCAAGCATATTATTCAAGAAAAGATCGATTTTGTAATTCAGGAATTTCATTGAGAGACTTGGGTAAATGAACCGAGAGCTTTTCAGTGCGCCAGAAGGCGATTGGTCAGCACAAAGTTCATTTAGCTCACTTTGAATCCTGACTCGAAATATTTCGTTTGCGTGCGGTGGATGAAACTTTGTTGTCGAATGATCTCCGTGTTGAACGAGGTCAAGAAGCGGCTTTTCTTCTGCAAGATGAAATGAGCGGATGCTTGCCCGAGTCCTAAAAGTTAATTTTTGAGGCAAATCTTATGAAAAGGTGATGAAATTCATGAAAGAAATACAGGCTTTTACTAAAACTTTTCAACTTTTGAAAAGCTATCGTAGCACTTGTGTCTAGTTTTTATTCGCTTTACCCATCGAATTCGTTGTTATCCCACACAATTGTTGTACTTCAATCATCATCTCATCATCCTCTTGACTGAAATAGATGTGATTACCTAGAACAAAATTTGTTTTTAAGAATTAAATTTTTTAAAAAAACCTGTTGCCAATAAGGTTAAAACATCATGACTTTTCCCTTCAATCCATGGGTTATTCTTGAGCGATGTTCGCAGTTTACGATAAAATTCCGAATCAGAGTTGTTGATGAATTCAGTTAACCTGTAAAAAGTGAGAAATAAACCCAATCTAGACTAGTTTTCTAAAAAGCCGTAAACCTCTTGAGTGAACGGGAATAAAGCAGCTGGTTTAAGTAATGAATAGATCAGTCAATAAGTAATGAATAGATCAGTCAATCAATCAATCATTCAATCAATCATTCAATCAATCAATCATTCAATCAATCAATCATTCAATCAATCATTCAATCAATCAATCATTCAATCAATCAATCATTCAATCAATCAATCAATCAATCAATCAATCAGTCAACCAATCAACCAATCAATCAATCAATCAATCAGTTAATCAGTCAATTTCCATTCGATCATCTATTTTGGATCATCATTCGATAAGGAATCAGTCAATCATACAAAAATTGAGCTAATCGAATGTAAATCAACGATCTGATTGCAATAGTTTGTCTAAAATATGTGCCTTCTAGAAAAAAAGAAGAGAAAAACATAATTTAGACTCTTCTCCAGCAAAGGAAAAGCTTGTAAGCCTGGCTGACAAAAAAAAAATCGATTTAACATTCCTTACCTTGAATTCTTTTGTTTTAAAATATTTACATCTTATTTCTTTCTCTTACCAATGCTGTGCTGACGGTACAATCAATGTATACTTCTTTGTAGCAAGATATTTAAACATTTCCTAAATTTCTTTTGAGAATATTTTGATTTTATTTTGATTTTATTTTGATTTTATTTTGTTTTTATTTTGTTTTTATTTTGTTTTTATTTTGTTTTTATTTTGTTTTTATGCTTTTGAACCTCTTGAGTGAAGGGGAATAAAGCAGCTGGTTTAAGCAATGAATAGATCACATATCTGCAAAAAGAAACATAATTTTAAAGAACAACGTCTGCGCTTTCTAAAGGGTAAATCATTTTTGAAAGATACTGTAGTCTTTCTTTCAGATTTTTCTTCCGTAACTAGGGAAAACTATTTGGTTAAAGCTCTAGGATTACAGTACCCTCACTCAACTCACCCTTCATACGCCCACATGACAACTCCGGACAAGAAAACGGTCAAAAAAGCAAACAACATGTGTCCTGAATTCGATTATTCAAAATTTTAGATATATTGAACAATGGTACGTAAATATTTCTGGCCACTTTTCAGTACTTTTTGAGATTGACTAGGCAAAGTCTGCTGTCCGACTGCTAGCCGTAAGTTCTCCGAAAGGCTAATGACACTCAAAATAGGCTAATGACACTCAAATCAGGCTATGACACTCAAAATCTATTCAATAGCCAATAATTTTAGAGATTGACTAGGCTAAGATTTCTATTCTAGGGTTTTCTGGGTCGGAGAATCCGAATCCGTCATGAGTTTTTGGCTACAATAACTCTTAAATAGTGGTTGGTGAAAATTGGATCCTTAAATCTATAGAATTTTTTTCTCTAAAACCACCGGATATTGAGGGGAAAAGGAAAAACTCGTCGGCTTCACCCAATTGAGTCGAAACGGTGCCCCAGAAAATCTGGAAATTAGTGAAATATGTGAAAATTCAAAAAGAAGACTTAATCTTATTAGATATTCAGTGATATTACCTGAAAGATTCCCATATCGATCTCTCGCTTCTTCATGATCCACTCCAATTTGACAATCAATGAGAAAACAAGGGTTAATGAGAGGAGTGACGCTAAAAGGCAACCCCAAACCGACCACCTGACAAATTCTTTAGAAATTATCTATAAATACAAGAGCAAAACCCTAAGCAGCTCTAGATTACGGTAGTTTGGTTACTCAGGGTTCTAATCTTGTATTTATAGTAGTCTAAAGCAGCTCTAGATTACGGTAGTTTGTCGAAACTTCTAAGAGATTGTCTATGATCCAAGAGATATTCTATGATCCGAGTACAAGAAAATCTTTTATACAGAACTCCTGACTAGTTTAACCATAAATTAGAGCTGATTGTTAATAGGTGTAGAACGGAAAAACGAGATTTAATTACTTGCTACTTTTCGCTTTACTATAAACTATTTAACATAAAAATCTCACTCAAATGGCGAGAAATTATCGTAGAGTCCGCCTGTTTTCTTTCGGCGAATCGCTTTTGTGGCGAAGAGTGGTTGAACCTAGAGTACTGTAGCTATTATTGTAGTAGCTTTGTACTTGAAGTACTGTAACTATTGTTACATACGTAAGTCAATGGATAGGAGAACGAGAAAGCGGCCTCTCTTGGCGGTGTCCGTTGATAGAAAACACCGATGACATCAGCCGTGTCATTGTAGAGATAACCGGTGGCACCTGGCCACGGATTTGACTGAGAATTGAGAACATTTAGATTTCAAAGAGACACCTTCTACCGTATTCACTGGGTATTTCACATTTCCCACCAAATATCTCGATTGAAGTCCTAAACCGTCGAGGATTGAGGAAAGGATCTGAATTCACTTGATCAGACTAAACTTTGAGAAATGATTTCAATGGAAAAACCCTAGCCGATAAAAGACCAAGGCTATAATTGAATAATTGAACCCGTCAAGTCCTTTGGTTTATGCGTTTTTTAAAAGGTGGCTAACTTGAAACTATCGTCTTTCTTTTAGATTTTGTCTGATTTGTTTAATGTGATTTGATTTTGTCTGATTTGTTTAATTTAAAGTGAATGGGAGCAAAAATAAGAAGAAACGGACAAGAACTAAAGAACAGATTACAATGGTTTACCCATCTTTTAGGAAAAAAAACCTCAAGAGTCCATCCGGGAAACGGGCAATTCACCGATGGGGCCAGCGTTGGGAAATATCGGCACGTATCATATGCATCCGGGGGATTTTTCATGTAGACAACTCGAATTGGTGGACGATGTCGATGTGATTGAATGGTTGAATCATTCGAATGGTTGATGAGTGACATGTTTGGTAGTTTGAATCGATAGACTGATATAATAGGGGAATTTCTGCGTTCATAGCCATTTTGGAATCGAATTTCGGCGATGAATTTTTCAGCACATCTCATTTGCGCATTCAAAAAGTCTATTTGACCATCAAATTCCATGGTTTTCTTTTTGTTTTGTCTATGATGAAATGATTTTAAATGGGGCTTTAGAAAATGCACTGAACCATTCAACATTTACGTACCGTAAATACTGTAATAGTACCCCACCGCCCTCGTACAGTCGCGTAGTCGCAAAAGTTTTTTAGTATTTCATTTTGTTTCAAAGCGCTCGTACTTTCAAAAAATGCGTCTTTGGTATCAAAAAATAGCCCTGAATTTCAGCTATTTTTTTGATACCTAAGCGCGCATTGTAGCATAAAGCAGTGTCGAGAAAAACTCGTTCAAAGCTAGACTACGCAACACTCCGCACCGTCATTATGGGGGGTGGGGTCCAATTACAGTATTTACGGTATTTACATTTAAACCTTACTCATAGTCAGTCAACGAATATTCTTGATCTACATAAAACTTTATCAAGAATAAGTGACTTGAATATCTCAGCTAGTTTTGGTTTGGTACGATATAGAGCTTGTAGACAAATACAGTTAATCTACCGTAAATACTGTAATAGTACCCCAGCCCCATAATGTCGGTGCGGAGTGTGGCGTAGTCTAGCTTTGAACGAGTTTTTCTCGACACTGGTTTATGCTACAATGCGCGCTTAGGTATCAAAAAATAGCTGAAATTCAGGGCTATTTTTTGAAAGTACGGGAGATTTGAAAAAAGAAATACTAAAAGATTTTGCGACTACGCGACTGTACGAGGGGGTGGGGTACTATTAAAGTATTTACGGTAGCCCAAAAATCGGCGCATGGCGCTCAAGCTCAAGCTCGACAAGCGACTCACCTATCTTTTCCTTCAAGGATCCTAAAAGAGAACCCCTATCTATCGAGAGCGTGTGCCAGAAAGCAAGCGATTACTCGGCCGTACAAAGAACACTTTGCCAGTCATTTAGTCATTGCCAGTCATTGCCAGAATTCTGTTGATAGTTCTCTTATGCTTTGTAGTTGCAGATACTCAGCTGTATATTGATATCCAAGGATTTTCAGGGCCGGGCAATCGATTGGTGTGGTTTATTTTCTTATATCTTTTGAATAAAACCCATCTAGTCCCATGTTTTGTTTTGATGTAATTTGTTTTTGATTTGATAAGCTTGCATCGATACCAGAAAGATCATAGGTTTTTTTAAAGCAAAACACAGAAAATGTTTTATAGAAAAGTTGTATGTACAAATTGAAAAGAATTGTTAAAACTTCGGAAAATTCTTCGACAAGAAGCAGACCCGGGACGACGAATTTTTCAAAAAAAAAGAAAAAGAAGAAAATAAAAATGGATTCTTTCCAGTACAATGCAAATAAAAAAAGCTCAACTTTTTGAAAGGATTAATCTATTTTTTTAAAACAAGTACAGAAGTTAGACGTCGAAATGTCCCCCATTATTGTGCGGTATGTAACACATATGGAGACGAGTGGTGAGCGGGAGTTTTCGCGATGAAAGTGCCACCGAGTCCTCCATCGGATCCACACCAACGAAATCGTGGAGAACCTGGAAATTTCGAAATGTCTCGTTGATCTTTAGATGAACTTAATCAATTCTATAATCCACTAGAACTACCGTAACCCAGCCTAGACCTTCATAATATGTATGTTTTCTGTTTATGACTTTTGCGATACATTTGCCTCGATTAGCTGTTAGAGCGGTCTTTATCATGAATAAAAAAGTACTATATAATTACGGTAACAACACGGGTTAGTCAGGTCAGAACCTCCTCTACCGTAGTCAATCCCATGTATAGTACAATATTTACCCAGGCTACGGTAACAGCTGTACGGGTTACGATAGTCAGGTACAGGCTATACGGATGAGGGTAGCGGATACACAGGTTACGGTAGGTCTACGTTACGATAGGTCTACGTTACGGTAGGTCTATGTTACGGTAGGTCTACGTTACGGTATGTCCGATACGAATTACGGTATGTCCGTTACCGTAACAGTAGACATACCGTAACCTGTGTACCCCCTACCCTCATCCGTATAGCCTGCACCTGACTATCGTAACCCGTACAGCTGTTACCGTAGTCTGGGTGTGGCTTGTAAAATACTGTACTATAGGAAACTGGGTCAGGAAGGTCAGACAGGTCAGGTCAGCTTTAGTCAGGCTAGAAAACAACTAACAACTTGTTACGAGGTTCTTTTTTCTTTTAATTTTAATCTTTTTGATTACCTTGTGCAACTGCATACTCCCCGCACTTCCATCAACCGTTTGAATGACGATCTCGGCATCGGCGTCACGTTTGTAAACCTGAAATTAGATTTCGGTCTTACTGTAGGGCATCTTATGAGTATTTCTTACAAATATTTCTTTCTTATCTTGTTTTTTATAAGAATATAGATTACAGTAGAGTGGATTACAAATATAGATTAAGAATATAGATTACGGTAGAGTGGATTGCACTCCCCTGAACTCACCCTTTTGATGAGACTCAACGCAATCGAAATGGCCACATTCAGATCTCCGGCATAAATCGGCGCCAAGCGATAACGATGAGACTCCTCCTGGAAATCGCTGAATATTTAAAGTCTATTGAGTTGTTAGTCTATTCTATTTTATGCTCTTTAACTCTTCAATAGGTACCGTACTCTAGTCTCCTCTTAAAATATTCACCCATCTACAACGCTTTACATCATTGATTTCACTGCTACACTACTGTAAGAAGTGTTTTTCAGAAACCTGGCTTTATAATTACGGCAACTTGTTGAAACTTTACCTTCACCGAGGGAACGATTGCCCCAAAGCCATTCACTTCTCCATCAGAGCCAGCATCTTGTGTCACACAGGCACTAAAATATCAAAATGAGGAACTGAAAGGGAAAATAAATATTAGGTTAAGGAAAAAGTTATAGCCGTCTTTGTAAAAAATCGATTTCTAAAGAATACGGAAAGGAAATAATACCGATCTTTCGAATAGCAATTAGATAACAATTAGAGTAAAAATAGATCTTTCGAATTGTTATTCGAAAGATCTATTTTTACTCTATAAAATGACTTTTAAGCAATTCTATAATTCTATTCTATTCCGGAATTTACTCTATAAAATGGCTTTTGATAGAGTTTGAAATGGACATTTCACAAAAAAAAGTAAAACCAGGTCTGGATTCGAACCAGGCCTGGATAGACTGGTTCGAACGCCGTCACACTATCCACTAGGCCGTCTAAAGTGAAAATTCCAGTCCGTTTTCTTTGGAAATCGTTTTTATTTTACGAAAATGGCAATCACTTTTCCCCTTTATAGGTTAACAATATGATCTTTCTATCTCCCACTCACCGAACGCAGTCCAACGAGAAAAACGAGTCGAGGAAATCACTGCGATCCTTTGAAGTCACCTGAAAAGGCGGCAGATTACGATAGGTCTTGTTTTACAAATTTACATATACCGTAAATACTGTAATAGTACCCCACCCCCTCGTACAGTCGCGTAGCCTCAAAAGTTTTTTCGTATTTCATTTTTTTCAAAGCGCCCGTATTTTCAAAAAATGCGTCTTTGGTATCAAAAAATAGCCCTGAATTTCAGCTATTTTTTTATACCTAAACGATCATTGTAGCATAAACCAGTGTCGAGAAAAACTCGTTCAAAGCTAGACTACACAACACTCCGCACCGTCCTTATGGGGGTGGCGTACTATTACAGTATTTACGGTATCTATTTAATATTTTAAACCTTTTGATCATAATCAAGCAACGAGTCAAACTCGGGAATCGACAACTCGTTCACGCATTTCGTCGATAAACCCGGATTATTGTTCTTGTCATTTCTAAAAAAAGGTTTCGCTTTAGTACGGTACTTTATATAAAGTGACTTACCGTACACCATTCTTGTCTAAAATCCTTGAGAAACCATCAATCAACTGTGGAGCTTTCACAACAAAACGATACCATTTCTTTCCGCAAATCGGCAAATCACTTTTTTGATACTTTGGCGCCATCTCCGAACCTAAAATTGGAAAAATTATTGTATTTTTTTAATAATTCTTAACTTTTATTTGTACAAATTCTATAAAACACTAAAACTACAGTATCCAAACGGATAAACGGATAGCCTAGCGTACTATAGTACAGTTTACTATAGTACAGTACTGTAGCCATGTCCAAGTCTACAATCCAATTACAGTACTCTTGCCATATCTCAGGATTTATTCTCTATTTTTTCACTGTTACAATGCAAATCTGTGCTCAAGCGTGTAAACAAAGCCCTTTTGACACACCGATCATAGAAAACGAGAAGGCTGGATGTGCCAGAAGGGGTGTGTTTACATTTTCAAGCACAAAGTACAGCAGGCCACTTATTGCTGATTCGCAAATGGTTATATGCACTTTGCATACAGTAAGCATTCGCTCAATAAATAGCCAATTATTCTCGTTGAGATTGATCTTGCTTTCCGTAACCTTTCCTTTCGTTGTCTCCAGAATATCGTAGCCTAGGGGTACTGTATCCTAGGAGTACTGTAGTCTAAGAGTACTGTAGTCTAAGAGTACTGTAGTCTAAGGGTACTGTCGCCTGTTCTGTATTCGGTAATTGCTCTCCTAAAACGTGTCCTTCTTTCATCAGCTACTGTAATGAGAAACCTGTTATAAGTGCGTCAAGTGGTCTAGTGGTTTAAAATCTTTTTTCCTCAATCTTATTACTCTAGTTCGATTCCCGGGACGTCACTCTTCTTGCAAAACTCTTTTGTTAATCCGCGAATCGTTTTTTCCAATCCCTTCAAACAATTTTTGAAAGTTCAAATCACAAAATTTGATGTGAAAAGTGGTTTTCGGTTCACATTTTGAGTTTATTGACCCCTTTTTTGAAAGGAGAAAAGAAGAAAAGGGGAAATGTTTAGTTTAAAGTGAGGAAAACGATATTTTTCCAGAAAGTTCCCTTTTCAACTAAGGAGATCAAAAAGTTTCTCTCACAAAAAAAAAGAAAAAATATTTTTTTTTTTAGAAAAGTGCTAATGGTTTCCCCCCAAAAATAGCAAGATTTCGATATAAAATTCCCAAAAATATTTTGGATGTTTTGAAAGCAAAAGATATCAAAATAGAAAATAGATATTTGTGAAAAATAAAACTGCAAATGTTTGGGTGAAATCATTGTACGTTGTGGTTCATTTTGTAGTATTTTGTGCTCGAAAAATGTAAACACACCCCTTCTAGTGGCCCGAATTCTTCATTTTTCGTTCTTTTCCGAAAGAAATTGAAGATAGTGCACCAGAAAGGGTGCGTTTACAATTCTGAGCACAAAGTACATCAAGAACGTGGCTAGTAACTTGAGAAAATAAGCTATTCAATTGAAAAGAGCTACTTTTAACGGTTGACTACTGTAAGCCTAATGTAGTTCTATAGGAGACTAGTTCTAAAGCCAGGTTAGGATCCAGGAATGTTTCGATCGGGTAGCCGGGTCAGATCAGACCAGGCTTGGCTCGGCCTAGAGCTCGGCCTGGAGCTCGGCCTAGAGCTCGGTCTAGAGCTTGGCCTAGAGCTCGGCCGAAGCCAGGGTCCAGGCTCAGTCTAAGGATTCTGTAGAATAGCCTCCAATAGTTCTATAGGATACTTTAGTCCTAAAGCTAGATTAGGATCCAGGTTCTGGCTTCTGGAACAAAGTTGGCGAAAAAAACCGAATTTCCTGAAGTCAAACCACTTATTTTTCCTTGATTTCCCGTAATTTCCAGGCCAAGCCAAGGCTAAATCAGATTGAAATTCAAAGAAAAAACCAATTGAAAGCCATTGGCTTTGGGTTTTTATAAGAAGAACCATTACCGAAACTACCGTAGTCTTGACTGAGATACAAATCTCTTTCAACCATTTCCCTGCTAACATTTCTTCGCAATGATCTCAAAAATTACCAAGAAACCCGATGATCTAGTCATTGAGTCTATCGGAAATTAGTGGATGAAAGACGAAGCTGTGTACACTGCACTTGCAATCAACCTTTCCCTCCCTTCTCCGCACAATAATCCCCTTCTCCCGCCAAAAAAAAAATCTAAATTCTTCTTGTCTGGAAACCATGTGAATTCTGGAAATCACGTGAATTTCCACGGAAATTGGAAGAAATCGAAAAATGAGTGATATCGACTGATTCGCGGGGAAAATTTTTCTCGGAAATTTGTGCAAAAAGTGATGAAGTCACGTGATTTGGAGCGGAAAGAAATTTGATAATTTTGACATCGATTTTGGGAATGATTGATCGAGAAGTTCAATCTAGGAAATAGAAGAATTTACTCATGAAAAGCTAGGGTTATATATCAAGTTTGAAATTTACATAAAAAAAACAGGTCCGCTGATCTAAAATATACTCTAATACTTTATCACGGTTTACGCTGAAAACTCTAGCCTAAGCATAGCTTATTCTTACTCTATTTATTACTTATTACTTACTTGTTACTACTTTTATTATTTATTGCTTACTTATTACTACTTTTATTATTTATTACACAGACTTATTACTAACTTATTATATAGAAAATAACAAGTAATACTTGTTTTTGTAATGGTCTAGAAAAAATTCAATACAGGGCTGTTAAAAAAGGTCAAAAGCTATGGCAAGTCCAAGACAATCTTTCAATCAACCTGAAATTCTAATCTTATTGTTAAATTTGGCTCAAAACCTTGACTTTGGCTTGGCTCTGATCCCATCGTATCAAAATTACACACTGTGTGGCGAATAGCCACTAAAAAGTTACCTAACTCTGGCAGCTTAAAAATTGGAAAAATATTGAGGAAATCGGTGCGCCTTCATTCTATTTCGCGCCCCAAATCATTATTGTTTTGTAGCTTGTTAGCTGAGTATCTTGTGTTAAAGCCTATATAAGGCATCTTGTGTTAAAGCCTATATAAGGCAACTGTTGTTCATTTTGTTTGTTGTTATCTTTCTTTTTCTTTCTGCTTTCCTCTCATTGTGTGAAAGTTGTGTCCTAATTAGGATGAAATTGTTTCTGTTTTTTTATCGTCGCTTTTAATTCAATTGTCGATCTTGTGTGAAAATTGCTCAAGTGAGAGCCCAAAGATTCCGAGTCAGTCGGCTATTGAATAAAGTGTTTTAAGTTCAAGTGAGATCAGATATCTCGGAACAAGAAATAAAGTGTCTTGAGTGAAAAGTACCAAGCACGCGAACAATATTTCTTTACACACTGTACTGTTTTATGTTTCTTTAAGATTTGTAAAATGAAAGAGCAATTGCATTTTACGGACATTGAGACAAGTGAAGTACTATTGGGTTGTCCAGTTATGAATGCGCGCTTTTACTATTTTGTAAATTTCTCAAGATATCGAACAGATGTATATGAGTGTGATATATCATTCGAAAGCTGAAGATCTCCTCTAAATTTTGATATAAAAAGCTTTGGAATTTGTTCAGCTTTTGGGCAAATTGATTGCACAAGGGGAGAGGTCGTTTTCGAAAAAAACTCATTCCAGCTTAGCTATTCCTCAAGTTTTATGGTGGAAAATAACCGCGCAGAAAAGTAAAGATGCTCTGAAATTGTTATATTTTAAAAAAAAACTTGTATTGATATATCTATTGGCCAAACATCAAACGGTTAACTCAATTTGAGCGGAGCCAAAACTTGATCCAAAGGCACCCTTCCATTTTTTGGCCACCTCTTCTTCTGTGCAGTCAATTTGCCCAAAAGCTCGACAAATTCAAAAGCTTTTTATATCAAAATGTAGAGGAGATCTTCAGCTTTCGAATAATACTCATATATATCTTTTTCTTGATTTCGGTATCTTGAGAAATTTACAGAATAGTAAAAAACGCGCATTCATAACTGGACAACCCAATATTTTAGGATGCTTAAAACTTTTTAAAAGCTTCCCGCTCACAAACCCGTTCTCACGACAACAATCCTCCTTTCTCGATCAATGCATTCCATCGCTTGACGCCAAACAAGTGAACCGATCCCTAAAACAAATCATTTTTTTTATTTCGTTAAACTAACAAATTAGCATAATCCTCTTAAATCTCTCTCTCTCTCTTTTTTACCCTTGTGTCTTTCTTTTTCCTTTGTCAAATAAAATCCGATCATCGCCACATTGTCCACTTCATTCCACGCGACACCCGACACCAAAGTATCATCTGGAATTGAAAAAGAAATGAAAAAAGTTGTAAAAGTTATATGTTTTACGGGTGTTTTTCAATCTTTCCACCAAAATTATGCAAATTTTAATTATTTCAATCAATCCCATCCCATTTTAATCGCAAGAAAGAAACGTAGCTAGCAGAGAAGTGATTATTTTGAAATAGACTGTGATTGCAAACTACATTGCTAGTTATTGCCCATTCAATACCATTCAAAATCATTTGGGATGGGAAAGATTGAGAAATACGATCAATTTTCAATAAAATACCATCTTTTCGGACAGCGATCACAATCCGTGTCGAGGGTAGATGTTGAAGGAGAAGAGTCGTTGAAACATCGTTGCTTTTCCATTCCTGAAAATGATTGGAATCTCGGAATCGGATTAGTCAGACTGCTTTTGCTGATCTGGCCCACAAGAAGGCCTGTCAGAACCGAAGCCTAACCTAGCCTAACCTAGCCTAACCTAGCCTAACCTAACCTAACCTAGCCTAACCTAGCCTAACCTAACCTAACCTAGCCTAACCTAACCTAACCTAGCCTAGCCTAACCTAACCTAACCTAACCTAACCTAGCCTAAACTAACCTAGCCTGGTTTTTCTGCAAATCTAGCTCACAAGACATAGAATGGATCAAGTTAGGTCTTGACTACAAGACATAAGCAACAGAATCCTGGCCTAGTCTGGCTTTCTTGACTTTATCTACAAAAATCCTCGAGTCAGGGTCAGTTTGGCTCTGGCTGGCTTAACTTGGCTTACAAGTGTAAATTCAAATAGTTGTAAAGGCTAGTTTGAAGTTTTCTATGCAAGCCTTTGACTTAAAAAGCAAAAAAATGATTTAATTGTCACCTCATTGGCAATCATATTTACAAAATCGGCCCATTGTTCATCGGTGGCTGAGGAGCGAATATCGTAGATATCCAACAAATCGGGAGACATTCTAAAATCAGAAAATATATATAAAGATTGAAAGCATTAATTCTGAATGAATCATGACTAATAAATTTCTAAATTTAGTTATAAAAACGTAACTGACAAAAGAAAAGTATGAATTGTGATGGAAAAACCGAGAAGTTTGACGTTTTTTTTGAAAAAAGTGTAAAAGCTTTTCCGTAAACAGTCATTTTTTGACTATTTCAGATTTGAGAAAGGGAAAAACGCGTTTAAAAGTGAGTAATTGATTAGTATTGAATAAGTTATTGATTTGAAAGAAAATTGGAAAGATCTTTTAAGAAAAAAAAGTAGACAGAATAATATTTAAGATCTATTATCAAAAATCGACTTCAAAATGTTCTTTGTGAGCGAAACAAAATGGGTAAACAAAATCCTTTCTGACGCGCAATGAATTCTTCATTTACTTTATTCATCACTTAAACAATGGCTAAGTGTATTAAAGCTAAGCTAAGCTAAGCTAAACATGTTTATTAAAGCTAAGCTAAGCTAAGCTAAACAAGTTTATTAAAGCTAAGCTAAGCTAAGCTTTAAAGTTTATTAAATCTAAGCTAAGCTAAGCTTTAAAGTGTATTAAAGCTAAGCTAAGCTAAACAAGTTTATTTTCAAATTTGGGATTTAAAAACGTGAAAATGTATCGATTTGAACATTTTGATCTCAAATCTAAGGAAAGAAATGACAAAAAGGATCTTGTTTGTGTGAGAAGCGTTTAAAAAGAGAGATAAAAGATAAGCTTTTTTTATTTGAAATAAAGAGTGAAGAGGGGTGATAAATGATCATTTGGAGGGGAAAGGGGCACAAAAAATGATTGGGGAAAGAAAGGTAAAAAGAAATGAAAAAAAAATGACTCTTGCCCCTTTCACGTGCTCAAATTACATACAAAAGCTTGATCAAAGAACGTTTTGAAAAATGTTAACTGTAAACGTGTTTTCTAAAAGGCAAAATTTTGAGCTAAACTATCGTAATCTTTCTTTTAGATTTCTGATTTGCTTAATGTTTGATTTCATTCAGTTCGACTAATGGAATTTGATTAAAAATTTAGGGGGGTGGGACAAATGCGACCTTTTTGTTGCGCACCTGAACATTTGCGTACCTTTTTTTTTGCTGGAAAAGGCCTTAGGAAAGGTCATAGAGCTTCAAAAATGTTTTCATAGAAGGGAATCGTATGCGTAGATTCAGAATTTTGACAAATCAGACCTCGCTGACACGTCAAATTTGGGCTAAAAGGCAAAAACTACGCAACTTAACGCTTTTCCGCAGTACCTAGCTACAAGAAATTGTTTTTTACAGTCTAAACGATAAAATCTTTCTGTTTATGGAATGGAAAAATCGGTTTGAATTAGGAAAAATGTCACTTGAAAACGGATAAGTGAAAGATTTTTTTTAAAAATATCGAAATTCCAATGGAAAACTTAGATTTTAAGGCTATGAATGCTGATAACAAGAATCTGTAATACAAAGAATGTAATACAAATGTAATACAATTTCTTGATACAGTCGAACCTCGTTAGTGAACTATGGAAGCGATCCTAGAAAACCGTTCACTATCGAGGTTTGATTAGCACTAAATCAACTCAGAGGGATCATAAAAAATCCGGTTACTATCGAGATTAGTTCACTATCGAGGTGTTCACCAACGAGCTTCGACTGTATGTATTTCTTGTATCACTAACTGCACCCAGCTAGTTTCCCAATGACTTTTCCTGTATACTTTGTGTTGGTAAACGCACCCTTTCTGATGCACCTTGATTCTCCATTTTTTGCTGTTGCAAGAAAAGAAAAAAGATGAATTCAGTGCACTAAAAAGGATTTTACCCACTTTTGAGCACAAAGTACACCATGAAAAGTTTATTTGATCAAGTTTATTTGATCAAATGCAACAGTTCAACAGCTTTAAAGGTTCAGGAAGAAAATTTCACTTCCAGAACGCTCAAAATGGAACCACCAAACAAAAAAATTTCTGATTTCAAATAAGTAACGGAAATGAACTTGTTGAAATGGAAGAAATTCAAAAAACGGGGAATTTATTTGGGAGAAATCAGATCAAGCGTTGCAGGGAAATGGGGAAAATGGAAAGGGAATTGAAGGGGTCAAAAAGAATTCATTCAAAAGAATTTATTTCTCTTAAAGCTTATCGTAAGCTCTCATAAATATTCATAAATAGCAAAAAAGTGGAACAAGAACATAAAAACGTAATTTGAAGTAAATTCTTTTTGAAATCAAGAAGTTGTGCCGAAAATCTGGGAACTGAATAACTGAATATATATGTCGTAGCCGATTATGAATGAGTTGGTCTAGGAGCGTCCAACCATCAAGTATTTGGTATCATTCAACGCAGAATCATTAATAATTATGTTAAATTTTTAAAATTAGAAAGATTGGATAAAGAGAAAAAAAATTATGGGGCCTCAAAGTTTCCTCTTGAACAAACAGTTTTTTTGCTCTAATTTTTTTTCTTTTATCCAATCTTTCTAATTTCAAAAATTTAACATAATTATTAATGATTCTGCGTTGAATGATACCAAATACTTGATGGTTGGACGCTCCTAGACCCACTCATTCATAATCGGCTGAAATTCATCATCGGCTACGGGGGTCCCGCCGATTTTGAATGAAGCGTTGTAGCGCCGGTAATTTCTAACCTATACTCACAAATTTGGTACCAATCGACGCAGAATTTAATTCGCTACAGGATGATATAATATTGTCCTCATACACTAAAGGGTTGCTCTACTAGAAAGATTTACCAAAAAATTTCATTCATAATCGGCTATGACATATATATTTCAAGCCTGGGAGAAAAAAATGAAGAATTCAGTGCACCAGAAAGTTTGTGTTTACGAAAGTGACTAGGGAAATGTCTACAAGAAAAATTTTCAATTGGCTGAAATGTTGCTGATGTTGTTTGACCCAGCCAATCGGAAATGGACCCTAGCTGGTCAAAAATCTTATGTCTTGTACGAAGAAAAAATTGTCAGTGAGCACATGGAATCGATTGAGAAAACGGGGAAATGGAAAGGGGTGAAAAAAGTGTGCAAAAGGAAAAGAAAAGGGAAGAGTGATCATTTCTTTTATTTCTTTCATTTCTTTCATTTCCCCATTCAACTCGTGCACTCCTCAAAAAGAACTCATTGACCGGGGCAAGCAAAAAAAATGAATGAAAACAAGTTTTTGTTTACATTTCCTTTTTTTTTGATCAAAGTTTAATGGAGTGACGGAAGAGTTTTGGGGTTTAGATTCTTCAAAATGCATCTTAATTCTAAAAAATCGTTGAATTTTTGATCCGTTAAATCAAAAATTCAACGATTTTTAGGAATTGAGCTTTCAAGATTTAAAGCAAAAGTTTGAAAGAGAATTTTTCGTTATCTGAGGAAATGATCACTTTGGAAATATTGGAAATAAGATTGGGGAAATGAAAGAAATGAAAGAAAACGGAGTTTATTGAGAGGAGGGGTACTTGATGGGTGCAGAGAAGGGCGGAGTCTCGAGAAAGAGCCAATCATATTTACAGAAACTAATAGATTTTTGGTAGGGTACAGATTTTCACATAGGGACCAATCTTTATCTAGCTAGTACGAATTACAGTCACGCATACTTCATGAATTCAGAACTTTTTCTAGGTACAAGGTCTATTCTGATAGTGCTAACTCGATCTGCTTTTAGCTGCCTGTTTCAAAATCAGATTTTTCTGAGTCTTGCCAGTTCAGCCTAGCCTGTCCACAGAAATATCTGAGTGAAACAATTTTGATAACATTAAATTCGCCGCATTTTCTTCTATCGATTAAGACCAAAATTGTTTCAATTAGATAATTACGCGTCAAGAAATTTGAGATTAAAGTTAGTTTGCCAATGACAAAAAGGTGGGGAACGATCGTCCGTCCGATCCGACCGATTGTCCGTCCGATCCTTTTTCTTTGCTCGTACCTTGATTGAGTTTTTTTGTAAAACGTTGAATTTGCTTTTCTTCGATAGAAAATTCGATTTCGTGTCGAATGAAAGCAAATTCAACGTTTTTCAAAGAAACCCGGCTAAGATACAAGCAAAACACATACCCTAAATACTGTAATAGTACCCCACCCCCATAATGACGGTGCGGAGTGTTGTGTAGTCTAGCTTTGAACGAGTTTTTCTCGACACTGGTTTATGCTACAATGCGGGCTTAGGTATCAAAAAATAGCTCTGAATTTCAGCTATTTATTGATACCAAAAACGCATTTTTTGAAAGTACGGGCGCTTTGAAAAAAATGAAATACTAAGAAACTTTTGCGACTACGCGATTGTACGAGGGGGGTGGGGTACTATTACAGTATTTACGGTAGATTTTTAACGGAAACCACCGAAAAAGGTGCGGAGTTAACATGGCTTACTCGGTTGAAAGCTTTTTAGTACTTGGTTGATTGAAAAAGCATTAGCTAATAGCAATAGATTGAACCAATTGCTGGCCAAGTAATCTTTTATAAAAATAATTAAAACATATTTTCATTTCTTTTTGATTATAAGCTTTTGCTTAAGTAAAGGGAAAAGAATGTTTGAGAAAATTTATTTGAAATCAAAAAATCATGCATATTTCTCGAATTCAAATTCCAAAAGATCAAAGCAATGAGATAATGGAAAAGGGGACGAAAATTTCAAACAAAGATCCGTGATTAGAAGGGGGGGGGGGGGGGGGGATTGTTTTTAGTGTCTTTGAAACTTTGGACTCATGAAAAAATGAAATCTCAAATCTCAAAATTTATCTGCGTTAATCGTTCACATTTGAAGAAAAGGCGATTTTTCAAAAATCAAATAATTTGCCTAGAGGATTTTGTCGTCATTTTTGCTGATCAGTTATAAACAAAGATTTTGACCGATGGGAAAAATTTTTAAAGATTAAATTCTAGAGATTCTTGATGACATTAAGTTTTATTTATATTTAAAGCATTCGATAATCCTTTAAAGATTTAGGTTTTGCTATTTTGCTATTTAAAAATCCGGGGAAAACGAATTATTTATTGGAATATTACGGTAAAATTGACATTAAGAAATTGATTGAATTTGTTGAATTGAATTTGATTCAATTCATTTGATTTTTTGTTCATTTGATTCAATTCATTCAATTCAATTTGATTCATTAACAAATTGATTGAATATTTTCTTAAAACTCACGCGTAAAGATATGTCGGTCGAATTGGGCTGAAGCCGATCTTTTTCGCGAATTTGCGCACTTTCCTAGTAAATGGTGGCATCGGGAAAATGTTCAACTTTCAACGATCAGAGTATGAATTTTGGGGTTGCCCCGATTTTTAATCATTTTTTGAAGGATCACTGAGTATTGGATTTTCTTTTGTAATGGATTTTCTTTTGAAGGCCATCAATTCAATGGGTTCATGAGGTGAAAAGTTGGTTGAGAGCAAAATGTTTCAGGGAAAGATTGGGTCAGAGAAAAGTCTACCTTTCAGAGAAGGATTGGGTCAGAGAAAAGTCTACCGTAGAAGAGTTGAAAATGAAAATATTCAGTCAAAGGGTACTGTAGTTTGGCGAGATTGATAAAAGTATTCAGCCAAGCGGATTGGGACATAAAATGGTGTACTGTAGTTGATGCAAAGTATTACACTGAAAATGGTTTAACAAGGTGTTTTCTAAAACTCTGGCAATTTAGAAAAATATAACTGAAGGGGATAAAGGTAGCTTTCTGAAGTTTTAGGAAACGAAACCTTTTAGGAAACGCACTCTAGGTATGTTTTTCCTATATACTATATTCTATATTTTCTATATTTTCTATATACAACGGCATACTGTAGCTTGAAAAATTAAATAAAAGTATTCAGTTAAAAGGATAAGAACTTTTGACGCCCTTTAATTGGCAAATGGGTCAATTAAAAAAGAAACTTTTGAAAAATCTCCGCTTTCTTTGAGTGAAACGATGACTTTGAACCTTTTTTGCTGCAAAATGGAAACTCCTGACTGGATTGAATCAAAGCTATTTGTGTAAAACTTGGGAATTTTGCGAGACGAACCCTTGATTATAAGTTCTTTCAGTGAGGAAAATTGTTGCTTGAAGCGAAATTAACTTCTACGAGATTTTTGAGATGTAAAAGTTTCGAAAGTGTGAAATTTCACAAAGCCAAGATTAAGCCAGAAGATCTAAAGTAGCGGTTTTTATTTTGCACTAAAGTTCCCGTAATTTTAGAATAGTACGGTAGTTAGATTGCTAGCACTACTTTATTCTAAACTACTGTAACTTTCGAGTGATTAAAGAAACCACGTGGTTTATGGGTTAATTGGATGCAATTAATATAAAATCTGCCTCTGGTTGACCCTACAGTAACCATTTTTCATTTTGTACTAAACATTATCCACTGCAAGTGCTACATATACCGTATTTCTTCGAATAGAAGACCGGGTAAAGAGTATCATCGCGTACTCCTGCGTAACAGCCCTTTTTAAAATTTCTTTTCTGCATAAAAGCTTTCAATCAAGTGCTATAGAACTGGAAAATGACTCAAAAATACGACATGAGCTAACAGATTTTTGAGCCATTTTCCAGCTCTATAGCACTTGATTGAAAGCTTTTATGCAGAAAAGAAATTTTAAAAAGGGCTGTTACGCAGGAGTACGCGATGATACTCTTTACCCGGTCTTCTATTCGAAGAAATACGGTATTTTAAACTCACTTGTTCCTTGTCCAAAATTTCCTCCAGAGAAACGAGTTGAAAAAAAGCTTTCGAATAATCTTTCCCAGTCTCATTTGCGATGATTTATTCGTGGATGAGGCAAGAGTGAGCTTTTCCCCCAAAAATAACTGACGTTTGAAATATTTGTGCTCGGGTGAAGTGAAGCACTTTGAAATTCGCAAAAAGAGAGCTTTAAAAAAAGATTTTTCGCAAGGAAAACCTCAGCCATTGATCCTCTTGAATTGAGAAGGGGATTCAATTTGTGTGATGAATGAAAAAGAGGGTGAAGTGGTCAAAGGTCGCCAGGGTTCGCTTATAAAAGCTGAGATTTTTTATATAGTTTGTAAGAGGTGAGTGGGAAACAAAACACACATTATTTAACTTTTTTTTCGTCTAAAAAACAAATGTCTGTATTTCCTAAAGTGTACTTTGCACCCTAGGTAACTACCACTTTGTACACCGAAAGAAACGTCTGTATCGACGTCTATTTAGCCAAAAGATCTCTTTCGATTTTATTCATTTTCTGAGGTGGCTACTTTGCGCCAAATTTTTTCCACAAATCGCCATAATTTTTTCATCTTTATGATTTTGGTATCATTTTGTTGCACTTGTTGAGATCTACAAAATAACACCAAAATCATAAAGATTGGCCCACTTCGAAGAAAATTATGACGAGTTGCGCAAAAAATTTGGCGAAAAGTAGCCACTCCCTTCATTTTCCTCTTTCAAATCCACCAAGCCTTTTCTTATTTGAGTCATTTTGGTGCAAATGTCACAATAAAGATCTACAAAGACTGAAGAAATGTACCGAACACAAACCACTGTAAACTGCAATATTGGGATCCGTCTTTCCATGAAAAACAAACAGCTTCCGTTCTTTGTTTTTCAAGATCTCGGTGAGCGATTCCAATTCGTCGACGGAAATAGCCAATTTTTTGCTTGAATACCCGCATAACATGTAACTGACTCTTACATATTGGGTTGGGGAGAAGATGGAAAAAAAAAAAAAATTTTAAAATTTTTTTTTTTTTTTTTTAAAAAAATTTTTTTTTTTTAATATGATAGTTTATTTTTATTTTTAAAAAAAAAAAAAAAAAAAAAAAAAAAAAAAAATCCTCCCCAAAAAAAAAATTTTAATAAAAAAAAAAAAAATAAAATTTAAAAAAAAAAAAAGGTTTTTTTTTTTTTTTTTTAAATTTTTAAATAAATTAAATTTTTTTTTTTTTTTTTTTAAAAAAAAAAAAAAAGTTAATTAAATATAAAAAATAAATAAATGATTGTTTTTTTTTTTTTTTTTTTTTTTTTTTTTGTTTTTTAATTTAAAAAAAAAAAAAAAAGAAAAAATTTTTTATTATATTTTATAAATATTTTATATATATAGAGGGTTTTTTTTTTTAAATAAAATAAAAAAATATATATGGTTTTTTAAATTTTTTTTAAATTTTTTTTTTTTTTGTTTTTTTTATCCCCCCCAACCATAGATTTTCTTTGGGGAGTTATGCAAGCTTTCCAGATTTCTTTGGATTGAGAAAACATGATTGTTGGAACGTGAACGTATCGGAGAAGTTGAAAGCAGAAAACAAAGCACTTCTGCTAATGAGATTAATGCAAACCAAGCTGTAGACCAAAAGTGCAACAATTTTTGTAGAACCCTTCAGCTTTTAATTCGGCCAACATAAAAAGTAGCAACGGTCTCTTTTGCCGTTTTGTACTATCATTTACCGTGTCGATTCTTTTCGAAGTTCAACGCAACTATTTCTCTCCTTTTGCAGCAACATCTCACTACTCTTTACGCCCAGAAAATGTCTTGTCTTCTTTTCATCTTTTTGCTATTGAAAAATTTTTTGGAATTTTTATTTGCTTATCTTTTGTTGTTTTCTCTAAAAGCAAAGGTTTCATTTTTATTTTAGAAGTCGTCGAGAGAATGACCTCTCAATACAACTTCAAGAGGATCACGGTCGTGCCGACCGCTTCGGTGAGTGAATTTTAATGTTTTGAATTGGATAAGAGATTTCAGGTTATATGTATGTATGATTTCTTGGATTTAGGAACTCAAAGAAGTGGTACTGTCGAAGACCCAACGAAAAACGCCGACAGTTGTGCATCGACAATATTCCATTGGACGAATTCGAGCTTTTTATGCTAGGTAAATTGTTTTAAATAAAACACGTTCACGACGGCATGACCTACCGGTGGGCCATGGCCACGCCAGAACCTATAACTTTGCCCATTCATAATATTTTTTTTCAATCTCTTCTAATTTAATTGATCTCTGAATGTTTCTCAACATTTTGGCACCAAAATCAGCTCGATTTTGGTGCGCTCAGTAGAAAATTTTCTAAGAATCCCCAAAGGTTTTTACTTTTTTTGGAAAGAAAATTATATCCTTCTAATAACAAGTTTTTCTAGAAAACTTTAGATCAGCCTGGAAAACGTTCCGTAATAAAATCAAGGCTATTTTCTGGAAAAAATGAGTTTAGAACTTAAGAAAGTTGCTGTTTGACTCTTAATTCGATTTTTGAAGATAATCACTTTTGGTTTTTGAAAGTTACCGACCTTTAGAAGTCCCTATAAGAATCTCCTAATTGATTAATTGGCCTCATTTTTATATAAAATGTTGGAAACATCTGTAGATAAGAGAGATTGAAAAAATATTGAATTTTAAGAAAGTTATTAATTTTTTTTGAGCAAAAAGTTGATGAATAAAAGTAAAGCTGTGCGTTCTTTTCATGTCGCTCGTAGGAAAAAGCGGCATCTGGCACACTGCCCGGATGTGGAATTGGGTAATTAAACCGGCCCAAAAATCAGTTTTTAATAGGGAACTCATAATTTTTCTGTACGGAATAATGTTTGTCGTATCAAACAACCCCCAGAACCAAAAGCGCTCAAATGCTGCTGCAGATTGATGCTAAAGAAAAGGGTTCTTGTTTTGACACTAAAATACTCAATTGCAGCGGTCCGAACACATAAAATAGAAAAGTTTATGCAGAATCTAAAATCAATACACTCGAAAGTCTTAGTATACAAGTTTTGAACTTTCTGGCTGAGTTCGCCGTCGTCCGAAACAGCAACGGAGTGAAAAATGGCTTTGTCGAGAATGTGTTAACGGGAGTCAAAAGAGCTAATTGTTTTGTGTTTAGAAAAATCAAGTTTCTTCAACAAACTCTTCATGACAAGCTCACAGAAATCATCAACCAATTCCCAAAGTTGGAGGTATCAATGTTTTTTTATTATTTGAATCAAACTCTTAAGGAAATTCACCCATTCTATGCCGACTTGATGAATATTCTCTACGATCGGGATCACTACAAGATTGCGCTTGGGCAAATGAACACAGCAAGACATCTGATTGATGGGTAAGCTGTCCCTAAAATGCAGTTAATTGGTCACTTTATCCAGAATCGCCCGTGAATATGTTCGTTTGATGAAATATGGTGACTCGCTCTATCGATGCAAAATGCTCAAGCGAGCGGCGCTCGGTCGAATGGTGAAATTGTTGCGACGACAGAAAAGCTCCTTCGAATACTTGGAACAGGTGTGAAAGTTCGTTGAATCGTTAATATTTTTTCTTTAAGGTTCGACAACATCTTTCGCGTCTACCGAGCATTGATCCAAACACTAGGACGTTGATCCTTTGCGGGTTCCCAAACGTTGGAAAGTCTTCTTTCATCAATAAGGTAGGTTTGAAAGGAGAGAGCACTCGCAGCTAGAAAATTCTTAACAGAACGACATCTATCTACTTTAGGTTACACGAGCTGATGTTGAAGTACAGCCATACGCTTTCACCACGAAAGCCCTCTATGTCGGACATCTTGACTACAAGTTCTTGCGCTGGCAGGTAAAACTTTTTGGAAGGCTTCCAGAATTTATCTGATTTTAGGTTATTGATACTCCTGGTATTTTGGACCATCCACTAGAAGATCGGAACACAATTGAGATGCAGGTAGATCTAGTCTCATTTGCTTATAATTCAACGAAATACTTTTAGGCCGTCACTGCTTTGGCTCACTTGAAAGCGGCTGTGCTTTTTATTATGGACGTGAGCGAGCAATGTGATCGAAGCATTGAAGAACAGGTAATAATTAGTTCAAGTTTATATTCTTTCTATTTCAGGTGCATCTTTTTGAATCAATCAAGCCACTTTTTGCCAACAAACCAGTGCTTATCGGTCTCAATAAAGTGGATGTTCGTCGTCGAGCTGATCTTCCTGCTGACAAGGTTTTGAATTTTTATTTATTTGTTATTTGACGGTTTCAGGAGGCGTGCATTAAGCGCTTGGAAGCTGATGGAGTACCAATTGTTGAGATGAGCACAATGACTGAGGAGGGAGTTCTGGGACTTCGGGATAATGTAGATTTCTTTACCGATCACAAATCATTGCTGTTTTAGGCTTGTGATCGCTTGCTAGTGCAACGAGTTGAGCAAAAGCTCCAAGCCAAGAAGACTGTTCTCGGCGAGGGAGTGCTATCAAAGATTTTTGTCGCCTACCCAACACCTAGAGATGAGAAAGTGTGTAAAGCTCTTGCAAATATTTCTTTGATAAAATAGGCATCCTATTCAAACATAATAATTTCAGGTTCGTGCTCCTTTTATCCCGAATGCAGCTTTGAAGAAGCGGGTTCAAACACGAAGTGGTACAAATCGAGATCTTATGGCCGAATTCCGTGATGAACGTACGCGGAAGTTGGAGCGCGAGATTGAACTTGAGATGGATGACGAGTGATTGCTCACTACTTGCACATTTTACCTTTCAAATTTAGTTATGTTCTTGATTTGAAGAAGAATTATTTGCTAAAGAACCCGGATGAGAAGTATGACATCGTTCCTGAGATCTGGGAGGGACACAATTTGGCGGATTTCATTGATCCAGAGATTAGCAACGTTAGTCTGGTTTAAATTTCCTATTTATTTTATTTTAGAAGTTAGCGGCTTTGCTTGAGGAAGAACGTTTACGAATTGAGGCTGGAGAATATGATGATGATCTTGATTCAGATGATGAAGAAACGAAAGACCTTCTGAAAACAGCTGAAAAGATTAAAGAAAAAGAGGAGATGCTCAAGTAAAATCATTGATTTGTTTAATCTGTTTAAATTAAAATTTTGTTTAGATTGGAGTCGAGAGAGAAAAAGAGCAATCAACATCATCACATTTCTCGTTCAGTCGCTCGTAAACGAGAGCGAACAATGGATAAATTGGAGGAAGAACTTGGTGGTCTTGGAATGGAGGTATGGATTGAGTTTTAATTTCATCTACTTGAAGTTTTTAGGTGAAAGCCAAACGAATGAAACACTTGGTAACGGAATCAGCGCGTACACCAAGTGTGAAGAAGATCAGAGTATAGTTTTTCTAACGATTATGTTTATATGATCTTTTAGGTTGGTCCTTCTCGTTCATTGTCTGCCAACCGTTCTGTGCCTCGACCTGAGCAAGGACTTCCGCAGAAGGAGGTAGCGTTTTAATTTAAAAATCATTCAGACAAATACGATAAATGTCATTGAAAATTATATCATTCTGATTTAGAAACGTGAGAAGGTTCGCAAATTGGCCAAGAAGGCTCAACGTGAAATGAATCAGGATGCACGAAAGGGAGAAGCTGATAGGTAAGCGAATTTTTTTTCTAAAGTATTACTCATTTCTAGGCACATTGGAACAAAAATGCCAAAGCATCTCTTCGCAGGAAAGAGGAAGATGGGCAAGACGGTATCTCATTTTATTATTTGGTATTTAAATTGTTTCTTTTACAGGATCGCCGGTAAGAGCGGCAAAGGATCGTCGCTTAAATGTTTTTTGTTGTTAACTTTTGTTATTTTTGTTTTCATTGTTGATTTTTTGTAGCGGGAATTGTTTGCTTGTTACATTGATTTGTTAAATAAATAGTTTATTTGTGGGAACAGTGTGGCAAGTTTTTGTTTTAGCAAGCAAATTTATTTTAGTTGGGTAAACGCAAATCATTTTTTGGAAAATTTTAAACTCTTTGTTCAGCTTTATTTTTGCTCTAATTCAGATGGGCGATCAGGAATTGACTTGTTATGTGAACAATCTTGATGAAGAGGTGACAGCTGAGATAATCGAGGAATTGTTCACTCAAGCGGGCCCTCTGAAGAAAGTTGTTTGGAAAGGCGATAGTGGATATGCGCTCATCGTTTTTCAAGATGAGGAATCTGTGATGTTTGCCGTTGAAGTGCTCGATAATACAATGCTGTTTGGAAAGCCGATCAGCGTCAAACCTAAAAACGAGTCACTTCAATTTGAGGTGATCATTTTTGGGCAACGTATTCAAATCTCAAAAGAGCTTAAATTATATGCTTATGAAACCTAGGCTTTAAAGTAATTGAATCCAAGTTTTTTTTCTAAACTAGCAATTTAAAAATTGAGTCTAATTTTGAACTTTACAGAAGTACAAAGAATGGAAACAGAAGCGTGACGACCAACATGAAGAAGCGAGACAACGCATACAGCATCGACAACGTTCAACTAACAACTACAATAGTCCAGGACAGCAATGGAATACACCTGGATCACAAAGTGGCTCTCGTCCAGGCCGTCCACAGGATTCTTCACAATACACGTATAACCGGAATGATCGCGATACTCGAAGATCTCACGATAGCAACTCGTCTCGTAGTTATCAATCATCTAACTACTCGTGGCAAAAACCACCTGCTCGCAACGAACAGCGTGACATAGGAATGCGGGAACCAAAGGTCAATAACAATAGGCAAGCAAATATGAAAACTCCCAACTCGGTGCCAAAATGGAAACGTCCGAATATGTTCAACAAGTCAAATCGCCCTGGTGATAGGTCGCATTTCTACGAATGATGAAAACCACAAAGACCTAATCTTTCTTTTTTTTGACCATGAAATTGGGTTGTTTTATTACCGTTGAGCGGGTCTGCTGTCGATTTTGCTTGCTTATTTTTTTGATTTTGTCATCAAACCGTGTTAATTTTTTATGAGGACCTTTTTATAAACGCAAAAAATACTGGAACGCTTACGGTATTCTTGTTGTTTGTAAAAAGCTCTTTACATGTTTATTTTTTATATTTGTAAAAACATTTTATGTCTTGCAAATTTAACTAAACCAAACCATTTCCAGAGATCTGAAATGGTCAAAGTGAAATCAAAAAAGGAAGGGGAAGAAAAAGATCAGTCGCTCAAAGAGATACCAAAAACGCATGGGAGTTTGATCAAAAAAGTTATTTTAAAACTTTTGGCTTTACCTACATTGTTTTGTTTTAGAAGAGACCTTGGAGAAATAAAGTGCGGAAACAAGCAATGAAGGAGGCAAAACAAAAAGAACGACTTGAAAAACCGACAACAGTGGCTTCAAATGAGGGACAAAATGACAAGACAGGGTAGGAAGTAAACCTCTATTTTATGTATAAAATAGAGGTTTTAGGAAAAAGTCGAAAAAGAAGAAGAGGAAGCAACTCCAAGAGGTTAAAGAAGAAACTCGCGATGAAAAAGACGACGTCTTGAAAAAGTTGGAATCGGGACGTTTCAGGTAAATCTTGTGTTATAACAAAGCATTATATAACAAATTTGGGTTTCTCAACGAACAACTCTATACCATGACGGGCAAGGACGCTTTGGAACTCTTCGAAAAGGAACCAGAACTGTTTTCAGTTTACCACAATGGATTTGCTGAACAAGTTTTATTTTTGTGAAGATTTTATCATTTTAGAATTTAGACGAAGAAATGGCCAAATCATCCACTAAAATATTTAACAACATGGCTTTCATCAAAGAAACACAAGGTTTATTTTTGAAATCTTCAACCAAAAATATTTTAGGTTGTTCTAGATCTTGGATGTGGTGAAGCAAAACTTGCCGAAGCTCTTACCGATAAGCATGAGGTTTTTTTACGCTGAATACGTGTTAAGGTATTTAATTATAGGTCCATTCTTTTGATTTAGTGGCTGTAAATGATCGAGTAACTGCGTGTGATATGGCCAAGTTGCCGGTGGAGGTAGATTAGCAAAATTTAAACAAATCCATTTTGTGTATTTAGGACGAATTTGCTGATGTTGCCGTATTTTGCCTATCATTGATGGGCACAAATTTGGTGGATTACTTGAGAGAAGCGTGGAGATGCTTAAAAATTGGGTTTGTTTTCAAATAAATCTACATCTTATTATGAAACTTTAGGGGAACTTTGAAGATAGCTGAGGTTTCTTCACGGTTTCACAACGTGAATCTCTTTTGCAAAGCTGTCTGCAAGTTGGGATTTGAAAACACCGAAAAGGTTAGTTAGCAAATTTTGCAGTCTCAAGCAATACTTTAGAAGCGATTGACAGACTACTTTTCACTCTTCGAGTTCCGTAAGATTGAGAAGGTCGAGAACAAGAAGCCGTTTGGAATCAAGCTCAAGCCATGTTTGTACAAAAAGCGTTAGTTATAAAAAATTGTTTACTATTGTTGTTATTTGTTTTTGTTGTCTTCAATAAAAAGCTTCAAACGTACACAAACAAAAGTTGCGGTTTCCGCCAGCATGTATTGAATTCGACAAAAGAATCCCTCGTAAACAAGTTTTCAGTTTATGGCCGCAAAATTGGATGAATCACCGATAGCATTAGCTCTATCGGTTGATCATATTGCGTCATATTGCCATAATTGTTTGATAAAGAATGACAAATTGAAGAAGTAAGATTATTTTTTTGATTTAATTCACACTTTTTGTTTTGTTAAGATGCTCGGCTTGTCGAATGATCGTCTATTGTAGTGCTGAATGTCAGAAATCTGACTGGAAATTGCATAAACCAGAGTGTTCGGCCATTCAGGTAAGGAAATTTTGAAAGGCAATAGGATTTGGGCTGCTTTAGTTATAGAAAGTTTTATAGGAAGACCGAGAGAAAAATATCAATTAATTTTCTTTTGTTTAGAAGCACGATGGCGTTTCGGATGAAGGAACTCGGCTTGTGATGCGGTTGGGCTCTTTGTGGGCACGTAAAGAGATGGGAACAACAGCAAACGAGACTTTAGATGATCCTTTCAGTGGTAGACGTCTCGACACACTCGAAGTAACTCCTGTCTCTGCAATCAAAAAGCAAATAGTTTAGTCACATTATGACTCTTTTCAAGAACGTGCGAACAAATGGCTTGGAGTATTCGGAGAATATGGGTAGGTTCTAGAAACATTTTTGTTCCTATATAATCGTATTTGCCTATTTAGTCAATGGCTTTCCGTTTACAAGGAGTTTTGCCTTAAACCAATTGTTGACGAGGAAATTGTGAAAAGGTGAGGTTTTGTTCTTTTTCAGCACCCCTCCTTATGAATTTAGGCTTTTTTGTATATGCTCCGTCAACTCGTTTTCTTTGACTAATCAATTTGGCACTACGATTGGGGTGAGTTTTCATTCTTTCTAAGCAAAAGTTTTTTCCCATTTAGATTTGCTTGTGCCTGCGACTGAGTGCTGTTGATCATTCATGCAAACCGACTGCAAGACTTGCTTTCAAGTTAGTTTCATTTTTAAATTTCAAGGTTTTGCGTTTAGAGGCCGCACTTGTTTATTGGTCCCATCTTTTCCATTCGCCTCGTGTATCACAAATCTGTTGTCGTTGAATCATTCCTACATCGATGAGCTGCAACCAAGGGCAGAACGACAAAAGCAGCTAAAGGTAGCGAATGCTATTTCGACATAACTGAGTTAAAATTTGAAAACAATTTTTTTCATGTACAATGACACGCGAACTCTATAATCATCCTCTAATACTTTTTGACAAATTTAGGAGATGTACAACTTTACGTGTGAATGTCCCGGATGCATTGATGAGCAACGCTTTTTACAAATGGAAGGGTGATTTATCTTTAAACTAAAAGATTAGATGTTATCTTTAGTTTTGCATGTCCTGAGTGTGCATCTCCTATCGCGCATACTGAAGGAGCATCTTGCTTGAAGTATAAACTCTTTTTCATTTGTAAATTTCTGATTTTAGTGATAATTGTGCGTATCGATTAGCTGCCGATCATTTGGAGATTTGTACGCTTGCTTTGGAAACGGTAGACATAGCGTTACTTCAATAAAAAGTTTTTTTAGGCAAAAGCTGGAAATTCTTCTCTTAAACGAAAAGACCTCAAAAACGATGTTAAAAAGGGATTAGCGGAAAAGGTAATCATCTAAAAAAATTTCTGACCAACTAGAGCTACCTGCTGAGTAAGTTATGGAAAAGGATAAATTTTTTATCGATGTTTTGCGGAATGGCACCCGAAAAAGAAACTAACGCGGGTCTCAACGGGCCAATTTGTTATCCTCCGTGTTTTGGACATCGATTTTTTTTTCTGGGAGCTTTGGCTTTCAGCTAGCGGAAATTTATGAGCTGTTATAACTGTGTCAAAAAATAAAGCCTCATTATTTTTGTTTAGTTGCTAACCGTATACCAGAATAGTCTGCACGAGCTGAATATTCAACGGTTACCAGCGTTGCGGGTTCTTTACGAAACAGCAATTGATGAGGAGAGGTAATATTACACTGAATAGACAAGTTTATCTATGTATTCTTTTTTAAGGCTTGACGAAGCGGAAACTTATGGAGCCAAGTTGCTGGCCATTTACAGTGCCTTTCAAGGACCAGACGATCTCTCTTTATGCCATTTTAAGTGAGTACGAGATTATTTCCACATCATTAATATATTTAATCTGTTTTTTAGATATGGATATGCTCAGGTATTGAAAAAACAGAATCGACACGCTGCTTGTAAAAGTTTATTGGGACCGGTGCGAGAGGTAAACGTTAAAATATTGTAGTTGGCTTATTCAAATTTAGATTTTTGGCAAGACGTTTGGAGCAAATTCCCAGATTTACACGAACGTCGAGATAATGTTACGGTGCTGAGTTTTGTTTTGTTTTCCAGTTGTTACATTGATTTGTTACGTTGTTACTTTTCTGTTAATAAATTGTTTTCTTTAAAATGCAAAAACTTACTGGCTTTCCAGAAAAAATATATTGGGATACTCACGACTTTATAAGGTGCCACTTCCTTTTTTGCAAAAATGGGTGAAAGGGGTGGAGTAGATGGGAGGCGGTCTTTCGGTCTGTTTTGTCCTTTTTTCACTCAACGTCATTTCGCGGCGATTTTAAAGCGGGTTTTCTCTCTCTTGGTTCACACTCATCTCTTATCCCATCGACCAAACCAACCGACAGGTGACTTTTCTTTTTGGGTAATTTTCATTCTTCTCCCTGTTTTTCTTTCATTGGTTCGAATTGTTCAGCGAATTCGAAGCTGTTCAGCTTTTTGGCAAAATTTTCCCACTTGAAAGGGTGTCAAATTTCATCGATTTTATGACTTGCAAGCGGCGACATTTGCCGTAATGACTATTCGTTTTTTCTGCCATGGGCTCGTTGCAGTAGTTGTTTTCGAGCATTTCTGCTTGAGCTAGCTTGGGATTCATTGAAATGACTGGTTCTTTTCATTTGAGTATCCCTTTAAATTGCGGTGATCCCAGTTCTGGTTCTTAGGTATACTGCTTAGTTTCCCAAATCGCAGAATTTTTTGTCAGTCCGGCGAGCGTTAGTTTTACGCATTGTTCGCAGCTACATTTGTGGACAGGTTCTCAAAGAAGCTTTTCTATGGCTTGGGAGATTGAGTAGTACAATACGGATAAACCTCATTCTAATTTCCACTTTACAAGTTTAATAGCTGGCAATTTCAACCTCTAACGCTTCATCTCAAGTAATGAAACCCTCATAATAAGGGGGTTGTTGGGCCTTTTTCTCTTTTTCCTGTAGTAATTAGATATAATTTCTGGACGGAGAGAGAGTTCTTTTCAATCGTCCCCTCTCTCTTTTCCTCAAAATCGAATTCTCGGCAACCTCCTAACACTTTTATTTGTATTAGAAAAATAGCACACCTAGATATTTGTTAGGTCTCTTTTAGTGGATTTTTCTTGAGAGAGAAAGATCACTTTGCTTGGTTGGATTCCGAAAATCGATCAAATTACCAATAATCTCATTTGCCGATTGTTTCATGCTTTTTTTTGCCTATTCTCCCAGGGATTATGTCTATCTTCATGAGATCGAAAAGAAAGCCCAGAAAAATTTTTTAGTAGCAAAGAGGCGAGAACGAGCTGTAAAGCGAAAGATTTTTCTTCTCTCCCCATGTCCATTTTCTTTCCCTCTCTTACTCTTTTACATATCAATCTCCGACTTGAAGGCTTTTCTTTTGTTGTTTGAGCCCAGCTGTGTTCCCCCTCTCAAGTCATCCATTGATCTATGAAAAAATCGCAAAATTCTTTTTATTTTATAGCGCTTCAAAATCCGGCTTTAAATAAAACTGAAATTAGAACAAAATTTTCAATTATAAACAAGCGGTGCTCCCTGGTATCCATTCTCTCAATTGCAAAAAAAGTGGTGATTTCATCTTTAACTAACTTTTTTAGTTCCTAAATGTTTCAATTTTAGACTCGGATGCGGCTGGAGCAAAGGGCAACTGCATTATTTCGTGAATTTTCTAGGCATGGATTTTCAAAAAATTTTAAATAAAAACTTTTTGTTTAGATTGTTATCAAATGGACAGCCGAAGCTCTTAAGAACGATTATCCCTTTTCCCGACGTGAGGTTTTTAAGACTAGCCCCGCAAAATTTTAGTAAATAGCTTATTTAAAATTATTTTAGTGCTATGCTTCAATTCGACCCTCATCATCAAAAAATCACACATTATCTAGAAATAGACTCACACAACTATACAGGTTTGGCTTGGCTTTACAATTTTGTGTTATCAATTTTTGCAGTGTTTCTACAAAAAAAATTTCTGATCTTTCCGCATCACATGGACACTTGACAATTTCTTTCCAACACGGTCTTCCAATTTTAGTGGTATGTTTTAGGCAAAAACTATTTACAAGAAACTTACTATAGGTCCCTCTTCCGTCCCGAACGGAGCCATGCCAGTTTTCTCTACGACCCATTTCAGACACAGTACGCTTCAACTAATTTATCTAAAAATTTTTGTTAGGTCGGTAGTTTTTGCGAGCAGTTAAAGATAGAGGATCGCGGAATCGATCACGTTGGACTTTATATGTCAGGTTCATTTTTTACAATAGAATAAAGCTTTCTGCTTAGTAACAGGTTAATTCAAATTGTTTTGATACATAATTAACAAAAGTTGGTTTAGATGGCGCTAGAATTGCCTCTTCCACCGCGATCGAACATCTGTTACAGTTCCAAACGTTTCGTTTACGCATCAACGATCGCCATTTTAATGTTGAAGTGGCGAAATTGGAGCTGGACCCGATCAGTGATAGGTGAACTTTATGGTTAAATTAAGTTGAAAATTTTGATGTGGCAGAATCATGCAGTTTTTAAGCAAAACGCTTTGAATGCACTTGTATTTTAAAATTTAACTACTATTATTGTTCATTCCAGAGTTCGTAGCGTTGATGACCTGCGAGCCGTTGTAGCTCAACTGCACGGAGTTCTAAATGTTAATGAATACAAAGCCGAAAGAGAACGACGCCTGCAAGAACGTCTGGAAAAAGCTGAAGAGGAGCTGAAGCCATTGCAAGATGTGAGAAATGCACTTTCTTCTGCAACATTTAAAATTTAGCAAAAAACGCTTATTGAACGCGAATGCGAAGCCCATTCGGAACGTGTGATGATTGCTGGATTTGCCGCAATGGGCATTCAAACAGGAATCTTTGCCAGGTAAATATTTGAGCTTAAACTAAATAGCTAATTAAAGTATTTTCAACAAGTTTTTAGGTTGACTTGGTGGGATTTCTCATGGGACATCATGGAGCCTATCACGTATTTTGCCACCTTCTCTACTGTGATTGCTTCTTGTGGATATTACTTGTACACCAAACAGGTAGCACTTAATAATAAAAGTTTCCTGTAAATCTTGACTAGAACTTGCCACAATCATTAGTTCTAAAAAATTGCTCATTGTTTTAGCCTTTTGAATACCATCAATGCCGAGATCGGATCTTCACGAGGCAATTTTACAAACGAGCTATGAAGCACAATTTCAATATTATCCGCTATAATGAATTGATTACTGAAGTTGGTTTTAGTTTTTAAAATTTTTATGTACTGTATAAATTTTCAGAGAGAAGAGGTTCAAAGATTGCTTGGATGTATTCGTGATCCTCTTCAGTTGCATCTGCCAGTCTCTTATTTGTCAAAATACGAAAGAATTTAATCGGCATCTATGTTTTATGCTTTTAGGTTCGACTTTTCAATTTCTATTGCTCATAATAAGAATCAAATTTCTATTTAATTCCGGGTATAGTTAAATTTAGTGTTAAATCTTAAAAATCTTACTTGCCTACTTTCCCCTTCCCTAATAACTTTTCAATTAACGCCAATTTGTCAATTTCTATGATACTTGTTAGGAAATGTCGCTTTTTACTGTTATAGCTGTGATTGTTCTCGTTTGTTTTGTGTTCTGGTATGCTTGGTTTGTGATTACTTTCGTTTAGCTAATAAAGATTCTGCGTAAGAAGATTGAAAAATAAACTGGAAAATAAAATAATTTTTGGGAACCTTGAACTGTTGGACACTGGGATGTATCTAGTTGGGCTTTTTATTTTTGTTTGAAGATTTTGCGATCAATGATCAATGGGTACTGCTACAACAAAGATGGGAGTCCCATCATGGAACTATATTCTCCACAAACTCCGTTTTCTATTTTGCACGAACTCCGTTTGGTCTTTCGCCATTTGTTGTGACGCGTAGTCGTCATTCAATTTTTTCTTCATTTTCGCCAAGTAAAAGGCCATTTTAGCCTCTTCCAACACAACCCGAACCTCGAGCAAAAAGACTTGAAACCACTCATTTATCTTCTTTAAAAAAAGATTTTAGTCTTTGTATCAGTTCATTTTTGCCGTGAAAGGGGTTCAGAACTACGCGCGCGCACAATTCACAGTTTATGTTTACACTGTTCGTTTGCGCGATTCCTAGATTCGACGAGATAAGAGAAAGGGGAAAGCGAATGATTGGTCAATTTGTGGCAACGAATCTCTAACCACCAGTCACCTCATTTGCAAAAAGCAATGTTTTTTCACAATTGTTTCCGATATATTGATTAGTAGATTGAGAAGGTTTGGGCGTTAAGGAACTTTCTTCTCACATCTCTCCTTTCAATTTATTGCATTGAATTTTTATACATATGATCATGTTATCCTCTGATTTAGACTTTGGGCAATCAACGATAAAAATGGCTCCAATCTCCGCCGACCTTCGCAATGATCTCGAGGATGCCGCTAATCGAATGCGCGTTTCAGCCATCGAGATGACTTCAGCCGCAAAGGTTTCTTTTTTTCTATTAAAAGTTTAAACAAAGCATATACCAATTAGTCAGCTAAAACTTTTCTTTGAAAACACTTATTAAAGTTACGCTTTAGTCTGGACACCCAACTTCTTCAACATCCGCTGCGGAAATCATGGCGACACTTTTCTTCAACGAGATGAAATACGACGTGGCCGAGCCAAAGAGTCCACATGCGGATCGATTTATTCTTTCGAAGGTGGGTGACACTTCAACTAAGTTTATTTTATTTGGCGTTTCAGGGACATGCTTGTCCGATCTTGTATGCTGCTTGGGAAGAGGCGGGTCTCCTCAGCCACCAAGACGTTCTCTCTCTGCGACGCATCGATTCCGACATTGAGGGACATCCTACACCGGTATTTATTTGATAACCTATCAAAAACTTATGCGTAGATAGTTTATTCTAAATGTCTCAATTTTAGCGACTCAACTTTATCGATGTTGCCACTGGGTCGTTGGGTCAAGGGTTATCGTGTGCTGCTGGGATGGCCTACGTCGGCAAAAATATCGACAAGGCTTCGTACAGGTGGCACATTTGCATTTGTTTAATGACTAAATTTTTGTTTAGAGTTTTCTGCTTGATGGGTGATGGAGAGTCAGCTGAAGGTGCCGTTTGGGAAGCAGCCTGTAAGAATTGAATGCTTAACAAGAATAGCTAACTTTCTTTTTAGCTTTTGCTTCTCATTATCAACTCGACAACCTCGTTGCGATTGTGGACGTGAACCGACTTGGACAATCTCAAGAAACTCAACTCGGGCATCACGTTGAAGTTTATCGCGATAGGTTTGTTTTTGAAAAATACTGAATGTTTAGCCGTCCTGGACGATAAGTTGCGTCTTTAGGTTCGCTGCTTTTGGTTTCAACACTCTGATCGTCGATGGGCACAATGTGGAAGAGCTTCTCAATGCTTGGGAGGTCGCTCGTAACACAAAGGTGCAACTTAAAAGAAAGTATTGATATACTTTTCATTTAGGGAAAACCCACCGCCGTGATTGCTCGCACTTTCAAGGGACAAGGAATTGAAGGCGTTGCCAACGAGGATAATTGGCATGGAAAGCCCGTACCGAACGATAAGGTAATTGGAATAATAGTTTGTTTAAATGTTATTATTTAGATTGATGCTATCAAGGCCCGCTTTCATGGTTCATCAAAGGGAAAGTTGACTGCTCAAAAGCCGACGCAGGATGCTCCACTGGTAAATTTGAACAGTTTACCTGGAAACTACAAAGTTTAGGTTGATCTTCACATTGGATCGATCAAGATGAGTGATCCACCGGCTTACAAAAAAGGCGACAAAGTGGCAACTCGGGCAGCCTACGGAACAGCCCTCGCTAAGCTTGGAAAAGCAAATCCAAGGGTAAATTTTTTATGCGAAAAATATTTAAAAGTATTTCAAGGTGATCGGGCTTGATGGTGACACAAAGAATTCGACTTATTCGGAAAAGCTGCTGAAGGAGCGCCCATCTCAATTCATCGAGTGCTTCATTGCTGAGCAGGTAAAGGAAAACTAAATCATATTCGAAATTAATTAATTAATTTAGAATCTTGTTGGAGTTGCGGTTGGAGCTCAATGTCGTGGAAGAACCATTCCTTTTGCCAGGTATTTTATGGTAAACACCGTATAGTTCTTTGTAATTTAGCACTTTTGCCGCTTTCTTCTCGCGCGCTTACGATCAACTTCGTATGGGAGCCGTTTCGTTCGCTAATTTGAAGTGCGCCGGGTCTCATGTGGGCGTTTCGATTGGAGAAGATGGACCTTCCCAAATGGCTCTTGAGGTTGTTTTCGTGGTAAAGTCTAAATGATTTACTTTCAGGATCTTGCGATGTTCCGCGCGATTCCTGGATCAACCGTCTTCTATCCGAGTGATGCTGTGAGTGCTGAACGAGCCACCGAACTTGCTGCAAATATCAACGGTAAATGATTATGGTGGTCAAAAATAATTTATTTTAGGAATTGTTTTCCTTCGCACCGGTCGCCCAGCGCTTGGAGTGCTATATGAGAATGAGGAGAAATTTGAGGTATTTGGCAACATCTTTATAATAGATTCTTTGCTTTAGGTTGGAAAAGCAAAAGTGCTTCGTGAAAACGAAAAGGATTCGGTGCTTCTGATTGGCGCAGGAGTTACGCTCTATGAGTGCTTGAAGGTCCATTTTAACCGATTGTTTATCCTTATTATTTTAGGCAGCTGATGAGTTGGCCAAAGAAGGAGTATCGGCCTGTGTGATCGATCTATTCACTATCAAACCAATTGATGCGGAGACTATCATTAAGCACGTATGTTTTGCCAAAAGATTCTTCAGTAATATTTGTTCAGGCGAAACGAGTCGGCAATAAAGTAATCACCGTCGAAGATCACTATGCTGCCGGTGGAATTGGAGAGGCGGTATTTGTTAATTTAAAAAATTATCTTCAACTAGTATCGCAAAGCTATAACTTTAGGTACTTGAATCTTAAATTTTTAATATAATCTTTTTAGGTCTCTGCCGCGGTGGCTGATGCGGGAAGCATTCGTGTGCGTTCTCTCTGTGTGGCTACAGTTCCTCGATCGGGTCCACCAGATGATCTCGTTGATCTCTTCGGAATCTCTGCGCGTCACATCGTCACAGCCGTCAAGAATTTCCACTAGAAAGATCAATTCCATTGTTATCATGTAAGCATGTGATATCTTGTGATTTTCTCTTGTTATATGTTGATTTTACTATAGTACGATAAGTAGTTTTAGATAATTGTTGATGAATAAAGGTAGCTTTTTCAATTGCATTACAAAAAATAATTTTATTTACGGGATGATTATGGATCCTTGGTGGAAGCGACTTTCTTGGCCACCTCTTAGGCAGCGAGTCTAGCCTTCAATAACACGTATTTGCCATTCTAAAGTGTAAAGTTACAAGTGCTATCTATAAGGTAAGCACTAAAGCGAAAATTAAGGAACGAATGTTTGGTCAAACGGACGGACAATGGCGCGGATCTAAAATGTCAGTGTCACTGGCGTCAGCAAAAGCGGTAGGGTCGGAGAGGCCGAAGAACGGTAAGAAGCGAGGCACTTCTTGGCCGAATCGAAACCGGAAACTTTGCTCCTAAGTTTGCTTATTGATGTCGGGATGAATAGGAAAAGATAGCGTAACGGATAGGAGCAATTTTTAGATTATTCATGCATTAGTGTTTTCTCTCCACTCGCCACTTTGTACGCCTCAGTCATCTTGTTGATAAGGGCTGGCTTGGCCTCGAAGAACTCTTCTGGAATTAGGGGTATGGGACAAAATTTGAAAATGAAGCTCATCAAAAACTAAGCTCAAAATTATATCTCTGGCTAAGCTTCGATGCGTCAGTCTGGGAGAGTTTCTCCAATTTGGTCAATTTCTGATCGGTGGTGGCGATGACGGTCACTTGTTCGATGCTCTCGTGCGACAACGCTTTCAACCATTTCAGGATCACCTTTTTGCTGAAAACAATTGCGTGTAGGGAAGGATTTGCAATTGATCCGTGGCTTTAGAATATTTCTGCCGGTTTCAAGATTTCATTTCTACTTGGAATTATAGTATTCCCAAATATTGTATTAACCATCTAGATTACGGTAATTATTCTAATAGAAGCATACTTCCTGTAGCTTCTTTTTAACAAATATACCGTAGTTAATCAAATAGATGATGGCTCATGGCTTTCAGTTTACAATGCCCCCGTTTACCTGAGAGTGTCTACCGTTTCAACAAGCAAAAATTTACAGCAAAAGGCAGACGTGATATTATCATACAACTTTGAAAAGACTTTCTAGCTACATTGGGAGCTGAAATTAAAAGGTGATCGTATTAGAGAGGACCGTCTATTTTTCGACTTTATTTAGGGTGTCCTCATTACGGTAAACGGTAACTACTTTTCTTACATTTCGATTATTTATAAAGTGTTCTTTGTTTCTTATATTTAAACTAATAGGTACTAGCATTCTTTTGTCTATAGTAGTAAGCGCTACTGTGACATTGGAATTGATATTGAAAAATAGAAGCAGCGCTGCTCCCATTAGAATATTGCGGTAGGTGCCTCTAGATTAGGTCGATTCAAATACCAGAAAGAAAAACACTCACATTCGCCGAGTAAGTCGGGATGTCGGTTGCGGCTTGCGTACCGCGATCCGGTGAAGAGAAGCACCAAAACCGAACACTTCAACATCTTTTTTTGATGTCAGTTAATCCCTTCTCGATGAACAAAATGTTTCATATATTTCTCTCATTCTTACCATTCCCCTTTATGATTCGCTCGTATCTGCGAATTTTATGGCCGGGAAAGTTCGATCATTCCGATGGCTTTTATCCTGTGATCAAAAGTCATCTAAAACTTTAAAGTGGGGCCGATTTTTTGTTTTTTCAGCAAAATTTCCAATATTATTTATTGTCAATGAAACAAATACAAGCATTACCCGAATACGATTAATTATCACATATTAGAAGAGCGTATTTGACGAGGAGATAAGGCGCTAGAGTAGTTGGGGGGGAGGCAGTCTGGAACTTGATGCAAAATCAATTTTTTTTCACGAAAACTTGCACACACACTATGCTGAATCGATTAGTAATACTTTTAGAACTTTTTCAATTAATTAATAACATTTTTTAGTAAAAACTCGAATACAGGCAACTTGCCGAAAAACGGGTCCCAACCTACTTTTTTTTTTTTATGAATCTCAGGTTTTATTTTAACAACATCGAATAAGAAAACTGTTGCTTGATGTTGCGTATAAAAGAACTATCTGACAAGTTGGGAGCCTGCTTTTCGCCAAATTGCCTGTATTCGAGTTTTTGCTAGAAATGTGATTAATTAAGAAAATTAACAAAAGTTCCAAAAGTATTACTAATCGATTCAGCACAGTCAAAACCTCTGTGTGCTCTCTGACAAGTTTTCGTGCAAAAATATTGATTTTAGGTCAAGTTCCAGACTGGCCCCCTCCCCAAATACTCTAGCCCCGAAGAGGACTTGCTAACATTTAAAGGGGGTTAAATCTATTTGAAAACTGAAGTTGGTGCGACCTTTTCTATTCAGTCAAAAAATAATTTCAGTTTCCAAATAGAATTTACACAATTAGAAGGAAACAATATAATTAATTAGAAAATTTTACAATTTTGGGGATATGGGGCAGTTGACTAGACGTGGACATTTAAAATATACAACAAGTTTACAAATTATTAAGAGAGTTACAAAAAACGGATGTACAACTCCCAACAAAACAAGCACTTTACAAAATGTTACAGTAATTTTCCGATGTCACTCACAGGAAGTAGGACATCATTTCCATATGTTGCTCGCTGAATGAATAGCCTAAAGCTTTAGGTTAGCAGTGCAGAAAAGACGAAAACCAACCATCATCAAACAGTCCAACATTAGTTTTACCATCATAGCCTACAGTGGGCTCAATTTTGAACATTGCCGGACGACGCTAAAGAGAAGATTTACAAATTTTTGATCTACCACAACTTTGAAAGCATATTTCATTACCATTTCCGAGTTGCCCGTTTTGCTTCTTGGAGATGAAGCAGCCGCATAATACGTGGTTTTGAACTGAGAAGCGGGCGGTGTCACCATCCGAGCCATTTCTAACGATGTCTCTGTTTGAGGCGCCGGCTTCTAAAGTTTAACATATTATTTAGAACAAACACCATTCTTTACCATTTCCACAAATGTTACCGCATCACTTGGCGGCGATGAAGCAACTTCTGGATATTTGATGAAGTCGGAAACGGGCGACGCAACCCTGCAAACGTTTGTCATCTCCGGCTGTGGCATCTAAAAACTAGGATTAAAAGCTAATACAATTTAAAGTTTACCATTTCCGGACTATCAAATATGTTGCTTGGCGATGGAGTAACCTCATAATACCTCGTTGGAAATTCGGGAGCCGGTGGGCTAATCATCCGGGCCATTTTCGCTGGGACTTCTGACTGAGATCCCACAAGCATCGACTAAGAAAACAAAATAAACTACCTAGTCGTTCGCAGTTTATTTCGGTTCTAAAGCACTAATGTGTGACACCTAATGCTGCTTACTTCCGCGGGAATTCCCGAAGGTAGTAGAGAGCTTCCATAATATCCAGTTGTGTAGTCAAAAACGGGCCAGCCCGTGATCACCGATGTTGCCGCAAACGCCGTTTCCATTGCCACTTCTTGTTGCTGCGCCTTGAACTTCTAAAAAATGACATAAAATAAAAAGAACCCGAAACCAACTCTCTTCTTTCCAATCTTCCGTGAAGTTTGTTGGGGTTGGAGAGAGCTCGGCATCATTTCATTCACATGCGGAGGAGAGCTAAGCGATGATTCAGAAGAGCACATCCAGTCCTCAAGCGAAGAGCTTAAACAAACATTGGCTCCTTCTTTGTTATCACTCACCAATGAGGAGAAGATGAAGTCTCCATTTTTGACTGATGATCATGCAAGTCGGGTAAACTAAAACAAACCAATCAAATCTTCACTGAAACTTGTACAAACTTGTACTCGCTACTTCCCTCAATGCCGAGCATCCGCTCAAGATTGCGAATCGTTGCGATAGCTTCGTAAACAATTTCAGTCTGAAAATAAAGATTAAGTTGATATTTATTCAATTGGGTGCAGTAAATGTTATATGGAACAAACCCTAGTAAGCTTTCTCCGTCGTGATGGGTAAGATTCGGCTCGATCGATCACTTCACGAAGCACTTCATATTGATCGTTGATCTAAAAAAGAATTGTGGTGCTATAGTAGTTGGGGGGACGCAATGTACATTCATCTCTATTGAGCCAGAGCGCACTAATTTTGGTTCTAGGATTTTTAACGGCGTAGATTCATAGTTTGGTATTTATTTAAGATTCAGTGACTGTTTTCTAGCTATTTCAGGCAGTTACTTAGGTTTTAAGCCTCTTAATTCGGTCGCGCACCTCTAAACCCAGTGGAAATAGAGTCACTATTGGAGGCTCGGAATTGTTGCTCAAACTGACATAAAAGTTGTTTAGAATGGCTAAATGCTTCCAATAGATTTAGTACAATTAATTACCCCAGAAAGTTTTTAAAACTAGTGGCAAGTCCGAAAAACCGATGTTTAGAACCCCCCCCCCCAACTACTATAGAACCGGAATTGTTATGAGTGTTATTCTTATGCAATCTCGTTATCCAATAGCATTGCTATGCTTTTGCAATTGACAATTAACGAGGATAGCAAAAGAACCATGCAAAAGCCCAATCCTTTAACAAAACTAGTTAGGCACTAAGAAAGAACAAGTAGCAATGAATAACTAGATTTCAATTTAGTAACGGCATTTAATTTATTTAATTTAATCCACTACAATGGCCCAACTCTTAAACATAAGCAACAAAACAAACCTGATTCACCCTGTTCCTTTCACGTTCATTTCTCTTGGCTCGGCGTGGCTCCACAAAAGTACCTGCCTTTATGCGACCCATCTTATTAGCAGTGAGGGAATATTACTGAAATTTAACAAGTTAGCAAGAAAGGTTAATCAAAAGAAAAAGAAAAACGAAGAAGAAATGACAGAATGACAAAAGACGTGAAAGGTAAGAAACTCGGTTATAAGCCTTTCTAAAATAAGCTATTCAATTATTAGGCTGAATATCATTATCAAGTTTAAAGTAATTATTTAAAGACCAACAGAGATTATTCTATAAGACTTAGACCTTACTATGGGATTCAATTGCTCTGTTAGAATCCATTAAAGGTGTAAAAAAAGGTGGTAACGAGGAAAAGTACACAATGATGTGGTAGGTTACAGTAAATTTTGTGTTCATGTGTTTTCTCGACTTAACAGCTTCATTAGAGATCAAAAGGCCGTACTCTGAAGTAAATTTCGGAGAGGGCAAGAAGTCTCTCAAGTCTCAAAAAGGTTTAAAGATTGGTGATTTATTTTTGATCAGTTCTGATCAGTTTTCTGATCCTTCTGATATTTTTGACCAGTTCTGATCAGTTCTCCCGAAAATCAGATTTCTTGGAAGATGCCATTAAAGTCCAGTTTTCTATTTCACTAACCAAAATAAGAAAATATTTTGGTCAAGAACTGAATCTCATTTGAATTGATATTGCAGTGATTGAAATGAGATTCAGTCTTCCTCATTCCGGCATCAGTTACAGTTATCAGACTATCAGACATCAGTTATCAGACATTACAATATAAATGTCTATTCAATCTATTCATTTCAAATTAAAGCCTTTTCAGAAAGAAGAGATGAGGAATGAAGGAGAAGTTTGAAAATAGATCAAATGAAATGAAAATAGATTTTAAAAGATTTGAAGAATTCTAGAAGATTCTAGAGAAGATAAACGTTAATGTTTGAATGCAAATCGATCATCACTACGCGTAATTCCCTGCACGATCAATTGTCAATCAATTGTGGGATAATTGTTTTGCTATCAGTTAATTTCCTACATTATCTACCGTATTTTTCTTTCGATTTCTCACGACTCGTTTCACCATTGGCAATATGAGAATTGAAAAAGTGGAGAATTCAGTGAGAAAAGTCTTTTGCTGGGTAATAAATGATAAGAAAATGGCAAGATTTGCAAGAAATAAAAGTTGAGAAAATGTTTGGGTTACTTTTGGTAATTGACAAAAATGTGTTGAGTCAACAAAATGTTGAGGACAACTTAATGTGTAGCAAACTCGGTTAATGTGTAGTAAACTTTTGAGTACATGCACAAACTGTTTTAGTTTCAAAAATGGGTAAACACATCCATTTTGGCAGACAAAGAAATGTACGTAATGAGTACGTAATGAGTACACCAGAAAGAGTACGTTTACTTGCAGACACACTCAATTCTTCACTTTTCCTCATTACGTCTCTCGTTTCAGCAAGAAAAATGGAGAATTGAGTGCATCAGAAGGGATTTATTTCGATCTTTGAGTAGCAAGTCGATTCTAAACTCACTCTAAAGCCACTCTTTCTTTGCTGTCAATCACTTTATGATTCTAGAGCGCCTGGGTAAATGAACCGATTTAGAACAACAACTCAAGGCTTCCCTGAGTCTGAATTTTCAACTAGTTATACGTAAAGTCAACCAGTTATAGGTTTAGGTTACCAAAATCAGTTTTAAGCTTATAACTCACAAGTTATTAGCTTATTGCTACATTCAAGTCTTGCTTTTCTTGCATCATTTTGCTCAATTTCTTCAAATTTCAACATTTTTGATATCTTATTGTTGACAAACACGAAATATGAAATGTGTTTTCTTTCTGAGTCAAGATTGGGGTAAGGAAAGGATTGAGGTGGCCAAAAATATTACGTCGAGGCACTGGAGCCACTTCACAAGGGGAAACTCAATTGAATCGTTAGGAATTTCTTCTCTTTCCATGTTTTCCTCGTTGATTCACTCAGTGGTCTTTGATTTGTCGAGAACAAAAAAAACTAAAACTACATGTGCCAGATAACTTTTAAAAAAGCCATTTCTAGAAATCGAACTGATTCAAAAAGTTAACCTTTCTAGTAAACTACCTTTCTAGTAAACTACCTTTCTTGTAAACTACCTTTCTGGTAAACTACCTTTCTGGTAAACTACCTTTCTGATAAACTACCTTTCTAGTAAACTACCTTTCTTGTAAACTACCTTTCTGGTAAACTACCTTTCTGGTAAACTACCTTTCTGATAAACTACCTTTCTAGTAAACTACCTTTCTTGTAAACTACCTTTCTTGTAAACTACCTTTCTGGTAAACTACCTTTCTGGTTTACCTTTTCCTTATTTTTGGGCACCTCAATCCTTTCCTTACCCCAATCTTGACTCAGAAAGAAAACACATTTCATATTTCGTGTTTGTCAAAGCATAGAATTTCTCTAATTCTTTTATTTTTTTTTTGCTTATAAATTGAAAGGCTCGGAAATTTTTGTGTTTTACTCTTTTGATTTGTGTTTTGCCTTCAAAAATATATCGTAATCTGTTAAATCAATATTACGATAGTTTTCAAAAAGTTGCCAAGTTTTAGGAAATACAAGAGCTCCATCTCTTGCCTTTTTTGAATTGCAAGATGTAAGAGCTCCATCTCTTGCCAATCAGGAGTTAAATCCAAAAACAAAAACAAATACAATAAGAGAAATAAATACCATTATCAAAAAACATTCTAGACATGCTTTCCAGGAAATTTTGCGATTTGTTCCTTTTGACTGAGCAACTGAGTTATTTGAAACATCAATAATTGAAGTTTTCTTGCAGCTTCTTCAGCTCTATCTTGTGTTTCTTTTCAAAAACTCCATGCTATTTCAAAACAGTGACATCAATTGAATGTTTCATTTTGTTCATTTCGCAAATTGTTCTCTCTAGTGGAAAAACACACATAAAACTGAGGAAATTCCCGTTATTCTTTGAGTGGAAATCCCAGGGTAAATGAGGGAAAAAGTCGAGGATTTTCAAGGGGGGAAATGATGAGAGAAATGGGGAAAAAAGAGAAAATGGAAGGGGACACTTCATCCGATTACAATCATTGCACTTCAATTGGCCGGAGACTAAAGTTTGTGTATATCTCGTATCTAGGAAGTGTGCTCCACTCAATTAATGCTTTTTCTAAAAGGCACCAATTCTCGAATTATTCTCGAAAACTACCGCAATTGCCGCGAAAACTACCGCCAGTTTTCATCCGATCAGTCTAATTTTGGAATCATTGGCTCGAATGATACCAAAATTAGGCTGATCGGATGAAAACTAATGGTTTAAAACGATAGTTTTCTCAATTAAGTGCTTTTAGATGGATTATTCGAAAGAAATACACTCTACTTGTGATGAAATAATCATCTTTTTATTGAAAATCATTGTAACAGAGAAAAGCAAGAGTAGAATGTAGCGAAATGAGATACGCCAATTCGACGTTCGCCAAACCATTCGATGCACTATTTCGCGCTAATTCCGAATCTGCTTTCTGTTTTTGCAAAATAGCTTTCTAAAAGTTATAAGTGTTTTAAGTTTTTGGATAAAAATGCGAAAATTTAGAGAATAATAGGGGTTATAAAGGCTGAAATGAAATGGTTATAAAGGCTGAAATGCCTTTATAACGATTCTATCACGGGTCTCGATCGTGACTGAGATTGATCGATGTTCTAGTGGATCAAAAGCCGGCATACAAAACCAGTGCTTTAATCTTTGCCTCGAGTACAAAACTTTTGTTTTGCGTTTTTCATGCATATTTCCCCGTGCACTCGCATCATTTTTAGATCAAAAAAACATAGGAAAAGACAAATTCCATTCTTATGAATGACACGTTCTTTCGTTAGACCTCTTCGACTATAATATCAGGAAAAAAAAGAGAAAAACTTACTTCTTCTAAATGAAGATACAATTTTTAATTACTCATATCTGGCTTTGAAAGTTTTAGATTTGTTAGTTCTAGTTTGTTCTAGATTTGTTCTTTCAAAATTGAAACATATTCTTTCTGTCATAATTAAGCCTTTTCTCTACCATAATCTCTACCATTTGTCTGTATTTCTGTCTGTTTGTCTGTCTGTTTGTATGTTTGTCTGTGTGCACTACTCATCCGCTTCTAGTAGACCGTTTCAAATAACTTATAGTTAGTTTGGCTATATGTTGAGCTGAGCTTTTAAGCTGTTTATGCTCAGCTGAGCTTTTAAAATGAAAGTTTAATTCAAAATCTTTACATATTCAACCCTAAAAAGCTTTCGAAGCTCTTGCAGAAGAGGCGAAAAAGAAAAGAGAAGACCCTACGATTTTACGACGAGTAATTTCGGGGATGAAATTTGAAATTTCTGCTTTTTTTTCCCCATTTCCCATTTCAAAATGAACTTCCCGTTGGTGAGGAGATATTTGTTATTTGAGTAAATAGTAGATTTAGGCAAAAAAATTTCAAATTTTCAAATCTTTCCTTTATTACTTTAGCTCAAATTTCGCACTTTTTAAGGTAACCACTTTTTTGGCCTCTTTACATCATTTCCCTGGCTCGCCGTGGGTGTTTACTGGGGTTAAAATAGAAAACTTTGATGACAAAGATGACATAGATGACGTTTCGAGAAGTTTTTAGTTTTTCTCTCTATCTATTCGATATTTCTCTCAAGTAGCAAAGGTCTATATGGCTCAATCGGTTTGAGCGTCTGTATACAGAGCGTAAGTAAAGCATTGGCTCAAGGATACCTTTAGCCTTTACCTTTAGCCCCTTTTTGAACAAATTTTTATTTACTCTTGTCTAAAAGCTTTAATCTTTGAGATTTTGTAGATTCTAGAAGCCTTGATAAATTTTTCTGCAAAAATATGAATGAATTGGGGAGATTGATGGTCACGTAATGGGCAAAAAAAGGATTTCAAGTCACTGAAATAGCTTCCGCTTAGAGTTTTATCGTATTGCAATAAGCTGTTTAATGATTAAATGCTACAGAAAGTTTTTTTTTTATTTCTAAAAGATTAACTAGGACTCACTCAAGTTTAATCACTAATTTTGGTTGAGTTGAAAGCAACA